ATTATTATTATTATTATTATTATTATTATTATTATTATTATTATTATTATTATTATTATTATTATTATTATTAAAAAAATTAAATTTAAAATAAATCACGTAATAATAATTAAATAATTAATTTTATATTTTTATATTATAATTTATATAAAAAAATATTTACTTGTTATTTTTAATTAACGTGGGTGCTTGGCGCGATTAACCCACTAAAGAACAATAAAAACGTTGGAAACCTGTACCTAAACTTATGGGCTCTCCCGAGATTATCCCTGTCGTTTGGAGGGGTAATTGCGCCTAGCTGCATGTAAACGCAATATTGCATTAAAATTGGAAGGGGTAACACGTTCCCGCCTTCGCGCTTTGGAGCCGCGTCTTCAGTCGCGTCTTTTACCAAATCCTACTATGATCCCCCAGTCCGTCTTTAACTGCGTACTACGTGCATTATTCCGCAGGCGGTGCGACAGGCTATCCTTTCTAGGAAACAATAGTCATTGTCTGACATCGGATAATTCTGTCCCTCTATTCTCCTATGTAACATCTAAGACAAGCTAAGCTCTTGACCCGAATTTGTAAAGCAAACAAACATCCATTCATCCCCCCCGAAGGCAATCCTGCGCTGCGGCCATGCCCTCCGCAACAAGTAAGCGCTCTCGTCGCGCTGCATTCGATGATGACGAAGAAAACAACGATGGGATCGCCGTCGTCCAAGCTACATCCAGCCTACGTAATGAATCTGTTAGTCATTATTTCCTCCGCGAATTACCAATGCGCTGCTATCTAACCTCGTGAGCATAGCAACGAAAGAAGGCACGAATTTCGAATGCCGGCCCTAGTAAGAAGTCAGCTCGGGCATCTCGCCAAGAGAGTGTCACTAGCTCCGACGATGATGAGGAGATGCAGGAGCCGGAAGAGCCCGCTGCGCCGGCTGCAACGCAGTACGAGTTGATGCGTGATGCCGGATTTAGGCATCTTGAAAATACCGAAATAGACGACCAACGAGCGACACAACGTCTGAAGAACCGTCCACATATACTGGGTGAGAATCAGGTAGCACTCAATGCTATTATTGAAAGCATAACCTGCTACAACTTCATGTGCCATACGAGACTGCATGTTCCACTGGGGCCCCTCCTCAACTTCATCGTTGGTGAGAATGGAAGTGGCAAGAGCGCTATCTTAACTGCTATTACGCTGTGCTTGGGCGGAAAAGCTAGCGCGACAAACCGTGGCGGGAGCCTGCGAAGTTTTGTTAAAGAAGGCGAAGATCATGCCAGCCTGGTCGTCCAGATCAAGAATCAAGGTCCCGATGCATACAAGCCTGAACTGTACGGAGAATCGATTACCGTAGAACGGCATTTCAGCAAATCCGGCTCTAGCGGTTTCAAATTGAAGGCATCTAGCGGCAGGATTATCTCCACCAAGAAGGGCGATGTTGATGACATCGTCGAATATTACTGCCTCCAAGTCGACAACCCGTTGAATGTGCTCTCTCAGGATAATGCGCGCCAATTCCTAAATGCTGCCACTCCCGTCTCTAAATACAAATACTTCGTCCAGGGTACTCAGTTGGAGCAGCTTGATCAAGACTACCAACTTCTCCAGGAAACCCTGGAGGCGAACGAAACGAGATTGCTTGCATTTCAGGAGAATATCACGTTCTTGAAAGAGAAGAGCGAAAAGGCTATAAAGCTAAGAGATGCGCTCACTAAGAGCGCAGAGATGCGTAGGCAGTCAAAGATTTATACAAATCAGCTGGCATGGGCTCAAGTCATGGAGCAGGAGAGCATTTTGCAACAGAATGAGAATGCTATACTCGCAGCCCAAGAAGATATCAATAGGATGGAGGTGACTATTGTAGAGAAGACAGAATACCTCGAGACCATTGACAACAAGGTCCGAGAAGCCGAGGAATCCTTGAATACCCTAAAACAAGAGGAAAGCGAGTTCAAAGAACAGGAAGAAGAAGCAAAGACAAATTTCAACGATGCCAGAGCATCGATCGAACAGACTCATACGCAAGAACGAGACATCCACCAAAGACTCACCAATGCTTCACAGAAGGTCAAAGACTATGAGAAGAAGATACGCGAAGAAGAGCGACGTCTAGAGGAAGTAAATGGTGGAGCCCTTGCTGAGAAGCAAAAAGAGCTAGAGGAGGCCAAACGTGCCATAGATAACATCAGGGAGTCTCAGAAGTCTCATGCCGAACAAAGCTCGCATATTATCAACGAACTTAATGAAGCCCAGAAGAAGGTACAGGATTCGGAAGAGCTCGTTAGTCAGAAGCAACAAGAAGTTTCAACAGCTGAGTCCCGATTACGAACGCTGTCACAAAATCGTAGCGACCCATTCGCCGGTTTCGAACCGCGAGTCCCTCAACTCTTGCGCCTCATTGACAGCGACAGTGGCTTCTCACAGAAGCCTATTGGCCCTATCGGCACACTTATCCAATTAACTAAACCTAAATGGTCGGCAATTCTGGAAAAGGTTTTGGGGTCAGTCCTGAGCGGCTTTATCGTCGCTAATCGACCTGACCAAGTACGGTTATCCTCTCACATGGAGAGGCAAGGAATCCGAAACTGTCCCATCTTCATAGGTTCGCGAGCCTCTCTCAATAACTTGAGAGAGCCAGATGAAAGTTTTGATACGATACTAAGAGTGTTGAAGTTCGATGATCCGCGAGTGAGAGATCAACTGGTCATTAATCAGAATATTGAGCAAACCATTCTGATTGAAGATCGAGAACAGGCGGAACGTGTCATGTTCGACGGGCAACAATCGGAGAACGTCGTCGCTTGTTTGTCTTTTCACGACAAGAAGAGGGGCCACGGTCTACGGCTCACCCGACGTGGTAGAAACATTGGCACCACCCCTATTACCCCCAATCTTGACCAGAAGTCTCGTATGAAGTCAGATGACATGGAGTCACAGATCGATTTCTTCAAAGAGAATTTAGAACAACTGCGGGCGGAGTTCCGAGATTTGGACATGTCAAGAAGAACTCTTCAGCAGGCGGCTCAACGCTGTACCCAAGCCGTAAATCAGCACAAGAGGCAGGGGGCTAGCTTTGAGAAAGAACTACGCAATGCCCAAGCTCGGGTTACTCACATTGAAGAAGAGCTTGACAAATTTGAAGGGGCTGACAATAAATTGCAAGGATATAAGAATGACCTCCAGGAAGCCCAAATCCAGAAAGATCACTATGGCAACCAGTTTGGCGAGCTGGCCATGCAAAAACAAGAGATGAACAGGGAGGCCGAGAGTCTTCACGAGATATTCAAAAAGGCTAAGGTGGCTTTCCAGGACCATAAAGCAAAAATCAGCAAGGCTGAAGACAAGGTTAAGAGACTCGAGGAAACCCGACGACTTGCCCTAGGGGAGAAGAACCGAGCTCACGCCAATATTGATATGGCGAAGGCTGCAAAAGGCGAAATGGAGAGGTCCAAGGAGAAACAAGCGGATGTTGTTGCCGATTATATTCGGCAAGCAAGCGCTGTCGCACCTGAGCGGGCTTACATACCCGAAGGAGAGTCCGTTCGGAGTATCGAACGCAAGTTTGAGTCGATTAAGGAGCAGCTAAGAAAAATCCGTGGCCAGCTGGGTGCGTCGGACGAAGAGATTCAGAATCGCGCGTCGCAGGCAATTCAAGAATACCGGGAGGCTAAGAAAAGCCATAAGAACCTAACCTCACTGGTAGACGAGTTGAAAAAGGCCTTGATGGATCGGCTACGTAAATGGAGAACGTTCCAGCGACTTATATCTGCACATGCTCGATGCAATTTCAACTATCTTCTGAGCGAGCGTGGTTTCAGAGGTGAGCTTTTCCTCGACCATAAAGCCAAGAGACTCCAGGTCCAAGTCGAACCAGACGAGACGAGAAAGACCAGCTCGGGGCGAAACACGAAGACATTGTCTGGTGGAGAGAAGTCGTTTTCTTCTATCTGTCTCCTCCTTGCCATCTGGGACGCGATGGGATCTCCACTGCGATGCCTCGACGAATTTGACGTCTTCATGGATAACGTCAATCGTGCCATTAGCACCAACATGCTAGTAAGTTGTCACATTCTCGCCAATTTGCTACATTTCGTTGACCATATCCTCAGATTACCACAGCTCGTCGCTCCGTAGGCAAGCAATTCATTCTTATCACTCCCAACGCCATCGAAGGCCGAGCAAAGATTGACAAAGATGTCAAAATCATCAGGTATGTTTCCACCACTGGATCACAGTGCGTAAACCAGGCGATATCAGAATTAACAGCATAATAGACTGACCGATCCTCGACAACGACTCATCACGGACCATTGAGTACACTATTGTGATACCACATAGGATTGATTCCTGGGGCATTCATCCGACCAGGGGGCGTTCCGGAGTTGGCTTGGGGAGTGTAGGTAGAAGCTAGATGGTCTGTCTAGGGACTTCGAAAAAATTCATGTTGATACGGCACCAAAAGAGGTCACTGAGGAAATTTTCAGTCATAGACTATCAGTAACTTCATCGCTGTTATGTGAGATGATGTATGAATAGTGACTAGTTGCGAAATGCTAACTGCTTGAACCTCGGGCTTTATTTTTTTTTTTTTTTTTTTTTTTTTTTTTTTTAATAGAAAACGATACGAAATCACATGTCCCGTAGGCACTCTCCGCAACGCACACAGTAATATTTATATATACACGATATACAAAGTTTTATCTAGCCAATTAACACATTTCCCCGAAGGTGCCCGACAAACCAGCTGGACTTCACGTGATGCGGTTTCAGTCTATATCCTGACGCCCTTGCTTCGGAGCACGTTTACTCCAGCTGATGCCGTGAAGCCTACCCATTGAGCAACGCTGCCCAAGGCACTACCCACCTTGCTTGTCTCATCGAGGCGACGCTGCAGGAAGGCCCGAGTCTCGCCGAAGCCAGGAGACTGGTCGTTCGTCATGAAGAGCTCGGACGAGACGTAGATCATGGAAAGCGAGCCGCGCTTCGTGTACCACGACGGGTCGACAGACGTGTCGCCGGCCAGGTAGTAAACCTCATCGGCAAGAAGAGCTAGTTCGCGCAGCGAGGCGGGGACGTGAGAGGGCTGCGCCATAACGGCTAGAGCCTGTGGGTTGGATCAACTAAGTAGCTGACAAGGTATGATGGGATAGGATGGGATATCATAGGATGGGACCGGGCGAGGCGGGAACAAAAGGAGTAGAGGGTTGGCGTAGGAGCCGGAGACTCACCTCTTGCCAGCGGTGATTTACTTCTTGGTTTCCCAGTAACCTCTCCCATGTCAGCCGCTCAACTTTATCCGGGACCGGCAGTGGGAGAGGAGTCCTTTCTTCTCCCTGAGAATTGAATATCGACTCGCTCCGCCGCGCGAGAGCTTGCCGTTGGGTGACTAGGTGATATCTTATGAGGCTGAAGGGCCCCTCGGGAAGTAGGTTGGTGCTTATATCGAGGTAGCCGGCGTCGCGAGCACCGAGAGATAGGGTGTGTTGGGTGAAGCCATGCTCGGGAACATGGCGGTACGCTGCAGATAAAATAGCCTGTTCGGCGGCGCTGAAGATGCCTGGCGGTGGTGGGTGGTCATAGGACTGATACGATCGACGTAGAACCGGACCGCGGGGCGATTGGAAGGGTGAGCGTTGTTGCTGATGTAGAGCAGTTCGTCGTAGAAGGGCTGTTAGCCTGGTTGTAGCCCGCGATGGGGCCATATTGGGCTTATGAGGACCAATTGATGCGATGCAGCGATGGAAGAACAAGCTCGGCGAGTATTCGGTTGCTACTGTAGCTAACGGAGCTCGGGTCGTTTTGTGGTTGAGTGTTGAAATGACGATCTTTTTGATCTTTCGATCTTTTCGGGACTTCTGGGAATCCAATCAAGTCAATCACTCGGCTGCAGCTGCCACGAGCAGCTACCGGTCTGGGTCGCAGCTTGGGCCGGAGATCTCCCGGCTTTCCGGTACATGCAATCATTAAGCCCCACATGTGCAGTACATCTATAGTACCTAGGTACCTATCGTCGACAATGTCATGAACATTGAAAATAAAATATACCATATTACCCAGTTTCGTTCATTCATTTTCCAAGGTCTCATATATACCTATAACTTTGGTCATTTATGTATTTCTTCCAATAAAAAATGTTAGTAGTATGTCAGTATGTTCCATGGTTCCTATGCTACGTAGTCCAAAGATTTCGAGCTGTTGGAGCTTTCCCAGGGTTTCAATGCTACGTACTGAGTAAGTAATTGCCTGGAAGCATCAAGGGGTTCATGACTGGCCTCGTAAAAATAACTTTGAAGTAACCCGGTCCAAAGGTAGCCTCAGGCAAGTTTCATACACAAACCACTTCGGCTGCCACTGCGAAAAGGGGTGAAAGATTGGTTGAGTAGACATCATATCAAGGGACTTCTAGTAGTTACTGGATAGCCGTTGAAAAAAAAAGTGGTCTTTTTACTAGCAGGAAAAAGTCTTTGCTTTGAACTCCCGTGATGTGCCGCTGTCCCGACCAATTGGGAAGTAGGTACGTCTAGGTACTTCGTTGATGCTTCTACGACACTAGAGTGGAAATCCTTGTCGTTGTCTTGGATTGTATGTATCATTAGAAAGATCTAGGGAGTCGCTGTTCTTTCTATCCAAATGATTCCAATTGGTGATCGTGTCGCAAGTCACTTCCTTCTTTACATATCTTGCCCTTCTCTTTCTTCATCCGCGAGGGTGGCTTTCCCCTCATCCCGCACTCCGAGGACCTATTAGTGAATACAAAGCCCTTAGTTTCTCAGCATGACGCTGTCAGCAGCCCTACTGGAGTCCGGTATAGGACGGGCTGGCTTCCTATTGGACTCTATACTTGCGGAGGGGCAGCAATGTGACGAGATGGTATTACGAGTGGGTGGGAGAACAGGGGACAGTGTGACTCAACTTTTCCATCTTTGCAAGGTACATACCTTATATAGGCGCTACACGATATTGAAACATCCTACCAGGTTAGTAGCTGGACTGAGGTATCTATATACATAGGTAGTTTATAAACCGTAAGTGTACCTACTCATGATCTGAAAAGTTTCGTTTCCTCGGACGCCTCACACGTTAGTTGATAGCTAGCCGCCTAGCATGCCTATTCTGAGTGTCGCCCAGGCAGTATCAATGGCTATCTTCTCACCTAAACTAACCGCTACTTCAATGTAGGACGAATATCAAGGTTTGTTATTGGGCAAATCGACAAGTTTCATGCCCGTGCCGTTGCCTTTCTGCTACGCAGGAACAAGCTGAGTACTGTGATCAATCATACTTTGCGCTCCTGCTGCCTTGTACCAGTAAGTCCACGGCCTCAAAGTTCTATGAGCCTATTTAGTTGACGCACATTCTAAACATCTGCTCTAACAAGAGTAGGAGATTGTCAATAAAACAATATATTTAATCTAAGCTCTCATTCTCACAATACCGAGTGTTTATAGCAGTACCATCATCAACCTATAATTCGGTGTAGTATATACGAGGAGTTTGGTACGTAAGTTGGGATCGCGAGCCAGTCTACCTTAGGAATAAATAGGTATACTTTCCCCTATTGAGCAGTAAGGGAATTTCGATATGATGTTACAAAAGGCATGTTCCCCTTTAGCTATTATAGAGGACTAATCTAGTGGCACTACATCTGTTGTATCACCACAGATGGCGGCTGAGAACGAATATTGGTCCTTGGTCCTAGAGAGGCGGCATTTCGTTAGCAGACAAATCACCAATCAACGGGTAGGTTTCCCGGGTGTGAGAATAGGGGGACGCTTCTAATAGCCTAGGTAGCAACTACCTAAGTCAAGATTTTGGTAACGATGATACCACCGTTTCTGTCCTGATCTGATTCAGCCATCAGTGACTGGAAAGGGCCTGTATCATTGCACAATTTGTCTCGAGTATGAATAATGACAGCAGAAGAGCAGGGGTATTGCCGCTAAGATGCAACTTGCTCGAAGCAGTATTATTTTTCCATGGCGGTGAGCTTGGTAAGATCTGTCAATGAAATACCGCACATACTATTATAAACTTACCGTAGTTACTGCTAATCTCCCCTTAATCCGGGGATCATGTAGGAATGATTGTTGTGTGATATACCTAAGCTTGAGATCTTCAACCCGTTCAAATGGCAGAAACAATAACCCCTACCAATGAAGCTACACCATGGGACTGCAAGCATACTACAACATTTAACCAACCCAAAGCTTTCACGATCAGGATCCTTTCAATAGACAAGGAAGCCAAAAATTACCTATAATATAGGGGTTGGATCACAATCCGTACTATGAAGTACCAACTTGCTATCGCTTGCTTAGCTTATACCAACGAGTAAATGTACCTGTCATCCTTACACATGTAGCTCCCTGCCACCCCCGGAAGAAGATAATAGCCGTAAATTGATGATTGGACGATCAATGAGTTCGCTAAGTCTCCATTCAAGGCGACCACTACCTGCGCCAATACTTGTTAAGTTTGGAGGCTCTCTCCTTGCAGAAGACTGTTCGACTGCTACAAGTAGGTATGAAGAGCTTCCCGCAAGAGACAGATTTCCTAGCAGGCATTATGCGGCAGGCTCGGAGCCGAGGGCCACAAAGACTTGGTTCGCGCTGCAGGCGGCCATTTAAGGACCAACCCTACCTTCTACAAAAATGATAAGTCAGAAAAGAAATAGAAGGGAAAAGAAAAGAAAGATAGGCTAAGCCCTAGCCTTTGCCGTGACCACTTACGTGATTATCGATTACTATACCTGAAATCTTGGTAGGTTTCCACACCAAACGGGGGATAGATGGACGTAAATATAGGAAAACTTGCACTTATTATATTATATTATATATAAAATATTAATGAATATACCGGGCTGTGCTCTGTGTGCTACAAGCTATGCGTGTCTATGTATGCTTGGGAGCCCAGGATCCCGATGTGACTGTGACAATGATCCTGGACGTTGGTAAGGAAGATTTTGGGTTTGAGACATGACTGGCGTAGCGGGCCGACCTCTCCAATGCGGTGGCTACGGTACAAGGCACCGTTGAGGCTTGCTTGCATCAACTACTATATGTTATGCACTACCTATACATACCTACATATGCGTGAAGAATTAAACGGCAAGAAATATAAGTGATGGGAGTCTCTGATAAATATTATCCGCGAAGCTGGGAGGTCGGTGGTCATCAATACAACGAAGGTAAAGATAGTCGAAAGGGGCCATGGAGCTTGGGCCACCTAGCTGGCGCAGGACCATTGTCACCACGAGTACCTTGGAAGCTGATATCACCCAAATGATATCTTGGATTTAAGCAGGTAGGATATAAATAATAACCTCACTTCGTTACTGTGTATTAAAATAGAATAAAACAGTAAAATTGTTCAAGTCTCAACATGGGAGACGTTCAACATAGATATCTACAAAAGCTTATGTAGTCAAATTTACAATCGGATAAGTACCTACCTGTGGGATCACCTCGAGCGCCAAGGTTCGCGTTTCTCAAGGATTCAGAGCGGGAACTAAAGGTTTTACCCTTGCCGGACAGCGACCAACAAGTCTAAGCGTGCGTAGACTTTAGACACTACTGCGTACTATGTAGTAGGTAGGTGGTGTACTGCAAGTAAATACCCACCATTCAACTGGTGCTATTCGTGTATACGAGGGTGATGGATCGGGGTTGCCTTATGCACGTCCCAAACGAGGCAAATGGACAAGGCCACCTATGATATTACGAGGCGGTTAGAGATCGTCCTAGGCTTGAATGAATATGCGTACTATGTACATAATATTGGGTATCAATTTCAGATCGAAAGTTCGCGGAATAGATTGGCCCATAAGTTTCAACGCAACCTTATTCGTCGAGTTCCTACAGGACGTATGACATATATACATAGCGTTGATAATTTCCGGTTCTACGGTGGTAGCGGTAGTAGGGCTAGCCTGTCAGCACCCGTATGAAGACGCTTCCGATTCCTGGGGCCAAGCCAATAGGTTTAGATGGCGATGGATGCCTACCTCATGATCGGCATATTTTTAGACATTTAACCCTATATCCGGCCAAACAAGCCTTAAGCTATCTTTCTCCCCAGAGCCGCGTCTACGACAATTGGAACCAGTTGCTTCGAGTTTAATGGGAAAAGCACGTATTGGGTCGGAATTCTTTCCTCAATGAGTATCACGGTGACATCGCATTCCTCGGAACATGTCGGGTTGTGACTTTTGGTATGTCTTGCGGGACCGGTACTATCACAACCTTGACGGCATCTAGAAAGCCATGGGGGCCACGAGGGTCGCGGGGGAAAAGACCGAGAGAAATAAGGTAGGCTATGGCTTCAAGTTTATGCGGACTGATCAGTTCGGAAGAGCAAGCTTCAATTTGAACCGGCGTGGAATTTCATATGCTATGTACATATACACGTACATATAACTGTACTTGACGAGGCAACCCTGAAGCCACGTAAGCTGTAGTAGGTTACTGCCCTGCATAAAATGTCGTCGCATAAATGAGAAGACTAACGCATTTTGGAGACGCGTTAGGCATAGTTAGGAAATAGGAATAGAAAGCGTTAAGGATATGCTTTCATGTCTAGGAAAACATTGGACTATACATGTAGGTATGTAAGTAATACATAGGTAAGTAGTGGTGGTATATTTACAGTTATTAGAAAGGGTTTAATAACTTAGTTTCTTTACGTATTACCTACTTTGCTACATAAGTATTATATTATACGCATATACTTATTTAGTGGATAATAAAGTGAAGTAATACGTATTATTTTCTATACCCGTACATAATTAACTAACACGGTGTATTTATTTATAGGCACAGTAAACGTGGACTGTACTCCTTTTCCCTCTCTCCTTCTCTCCTAAAAAAACAGGCAGGGATAGAAAAAGTATAACATGTGCATTAGTGGATAATAATCACGATTACGGGGCAATTTTTCCTCTCCCCGAAAACGCCAATGCCTTAAGTTCGACCAATCATAAAGAAGGGTTCGGCTGACTCGAACGCGGTAATCTTTTGGGGGCCACTTTCCAATCGCGTCCACGCTTTCAGCCCAATTTCTAAATCCTATCCGTCCACACATCCGTCCACAACCATCCACCCGTCCACAACCAGCATTCATCGAACGCATCTCCCCAGATTTTTTTTCTTTCCCTTTCCCATTCTCGTCGATATTGACTCTTGGGACTGGTACCCTCTCCTGCAGCAAGCATATCCAAGGTTTAACATCAGGTCCAGGTACGTACGTATGAGAGCCGCCGACCGTCTGGTCGCATATGCACACCCTCCCACGCCCCCAGCTTTTTTTTCTTTCGGCTGCTTGTATTGTGTTGCTATTTTGTTTTTATTTTTATTTTTCAATTTTTAATAATTTTTTTTATTCCCCAACCCTTTTTTGCACAACCAGCCACTCACCGGTACGCTTTCGCGCGACACCAGCAAACAGGTACAGGCGTCTCGTCTCCGTCTCGCCTTACCTTACCTTACCTTACACTCTCACATCACATTTACATTACATATACATGACATTAACCTAGCATTACGTCGGGAAACATCCATACACCCATACACCCATACACGTCGCGTTTCTAGCAGCCTCGACTGCTAACCTGTCGCGCGCGCGTTTTGCCTGTTAATACTGCTTGCTGCGTATCTCTCAAGTGTCCGCTGGTACTACTGCTGGTGCCTGCTGCTGACAGTGGTGTCTTGGTACTGGTAATCGGTGTTGGTGTTGCCGACTTTGGTGTCGTTTTTCTCCTGCATACATACATACCACATACCTTTTCCCCTATCCCGTATACTGGACCAGCCTAGGCCCTCTGTCAGCGCAGCCGGTCATTGTGCAATGCGAATGCAGAGGCGCTGAATCACACCCGATACAAGCACTCTTGTACCTCTTGACTTCCATTCTCCCCAAGCCTTAGTACTGCGTCTTTAGTTCCCCCCCTTTTTTTTATTCCCTCTCAGCTAGCGAGGGTCCCCGAAAAGATTCGATTCACTCCTTGTCACTTCGAAGACTCACCCCTCCAATACATACAGGTTTACTTACTTCCCCCGGCCTACCAGCACCTTCGTTGGTACATTATTGTCGGCGGAGAAAAAAAAAACTTCTCAGACAAGGCGGCTAAGCTCGACAAAGTCGTTTCTGAACGTATCTAGCTATGGGTAAGTCCACACCACCATTTTGATATCTTTGAGGAACACAAGCATCTATACACCACTGTCCGGTTCTTTCTGTTCAATTCTTCCTTTCCTTCTTTTCCTCACTCGCTACTAACGGGAACTCGCGTGTCTTCCGAGCCTTCTTGCCTGCTAACCCCTTCGCCTGTTCCCATATATTCCACATCCCATATTCCATCTTCCATATCCCATATCCGTACATATTCATATTCACATCCATACCCATCATATCCATCATATCCGTCATATCCATCATATCCACATCCCACACTACCTATCCTACTTCGTACACACATACATACGTATATACGACCTACTCCTGCACTCGCACACGCTTTGGCTGCCGAATTAGATCATCCATCCCCTTGCTACCTCTTAAAAGGTATTCCTTCCCACCAATCCGTCTAGAGGCATAAAACAAATGCCTCTTGCGACGTGTTACCACTGCCTACATAACCTTGACGCCTACCTAGGTAGCTTGTAACAGCCCACAGCATTACCCGCTTCTCTGTTCCTACCTTCTTTCCACCACCCCCCTCTCCACCCAATCACACTCTTCCCTGGCCCCCTTTCCTCGACTCACTCCACCAGTCGCTCTATCCTCACTTAACCTGCCCTTTGTGCCGCTCTATACAAGCCGCAACTCGTCCCCGAAGCCTTTAATACGCCGCGCTTCCCCCCCACCCCCGTTCCTGGACGCTTTCCCTTCCCGATCCACTAACGGTCTGGCCTCTTGAACACCCCCCGTATGCAACCACGGCCCGCCAGATTGTCACTGTCAACTATCCAAATTCAAATTGACTTTTTTTTTTTTTTTGCTTGTTAATCAAACTTTTACTCCTTTCTATCTCTGTTCTGCTTTGAGATTTTAGCTTCTAACTCACGACATTTTCGGTAGCTGATTCAGGAGATACATATCGTCCCGTCAAGGTAAGCCAAGTTAACAAGGAATTTCTTTTCTGATTTCCCGGTGGTATCATCGTCTCGTATCCCCAATCCATCATTGAATTGTTCAATTTGCCTTATACCAGCGCTAGCATGTTGGCTATTTCGAACGGCGGCAAAACTTTAAAGGACAGTGCGGAGGGCAGAGCGTTCAAGTTCTATGCCTGACAGCTTCTCTCCCCACGTCATTCTTTCGCCTGAGCTAGAGAGGGGCACCAAGACGAGTCTAGCTGGACCCAAAAAAGGGATATATAAAGTTTGCAGTTACCCCGAAATAATTGTCTGCAAGTTTTGAATGCTGTTCTCTCTATCGACTCGAAGACACTTTCTCGCCTCGTTCCAGCAATCTCGGTTAGAGACAGGAAGTTTGAAACGGCATATCTGTTTCCTTCGAAGCTAGCTGACGTGACCTGACTTGACGGAGCGCTATTTTTTGCCTCTAATGTCGTTCTTACCCCGCCCAGATGCTGACGACTCACAGCGCGAGAGATCTCGCTCGCCACGCCGTGGTCGATCAAGGAGCCCAGGTCGCTCGGGTCGCCGTCGATCATACTCTCCACGTAGCCGGTCTCGAAGCCGGGACGACTACCGTAGATCGGACAGACGGTCGCGATCTCCCATGACTGGAGCTGGGGCCCCAGTTGGAGGATCAGGTTCGGGTTACGGTGGACCACCCCAACGGACGTACGAGGAACGTGCTGCTGCACGAGAACAGATGATGAATAACATTCGCGAGACCTCGCAGCAGGACCGACGTGTCTACGTCGGCAACCTTTCTTACGATGTAAAGTGGCATCATCTTAAAGATTTTATGCGACAGGGTGAGTCGTTACTTGCTCGGCAGCGAGCTAGTCTTTACTTGAGGACCTATGGCTAACGGCGGCATGGCTTATAGCTGGTGAGGTTCTGTTCGCCGATGTTTTATTGCTTCCGAATGGGATGTCTAAGGTGGGCTTCTACACGTGATTCATGGCCGGTTTTCTCTTTGGCTCCTTCTCCTCTGGTCTCTTGTTGGAATTGATGGATTGACGGGTTGGGACATCGTCCGCGGGTTTTTGTAGGGATGCGGGTAAGTCAAATCCATCTATGCAAGTTACGAGCGTCAAATGTGCTTTTTACTAACATCGGATTAGAATTGTGGAATATGCTACAAGGGAGCAAGCACAAACAGCTGTCCAGACTCTCAGCAATCAGAACCTAATGGGCAGGCTCGTATACGTTCGCGAAGTAAGGACGCCTTCTAATATTGATAGTTCCATGGCAAATACTGAAGTTGGGAATAGGATCGAGAAGCCGAACCACGATTCATCGGCGCAACCGGAGGCCGCGGCGGCTACGGTGGCGGAATGCAAGGCGGATACGGAGGCGGCAGTGGAGGCGGCGGCGGCGGTGGTGGTGGCAGCGGATACGGTGGTGGCGGCATGGCTGGCGGCAATCGCCAAATCTACGTGTCCAACGTTTGTTTATTCCCCGTCCCTTCCTCTCTTGATCTCGATATGAGCGCCTAGTTCCTGGTATTAACTTTACTCTCAGCTTCCATATACCGTAGGCTGGCAAGATCTCAAAGACTTGTTTCGCCAGGCAGGTCAGTTCCACCGTTCGGCTACTATTGATCGTGGTTATCGGAAGCCTATTACTAACATTGGACTATGACAGCCCGAAATGGCCAGGTAATCCGAGCCGACGTTCATCTGGGTCCGGATGGCAGGCCCAAGGGCTCTGGTATCGTCATGTTCGAACATCCCGAAGACACGCGCAATGCTATACAGCAGTTCAACGGATTTGAATGGCAAGGCCGTCTGCTCGAGGTTCGCGAGGATCGCTTTGCCCACCAAGGAGTCGGAAGCTATGGCCGAGGCGGCTTTGGTGGTCGCGGAAGCTTTGGTGGTTCCTACGGGGGCCGCGGAGGTTTTGGTGGCGGTCGTGGTGGCTTCGGCGGTTACGGCGGCGGACGCGGAGGCTTTGGTGGACCCACCGGTGGTGGATACGATGCCAACAATTCTGCCCCCGCCGCGGCCCCGAATCCGTTCACTGATTTCGCTACTGCGGGGACCGATCCAAGCGAAATCATCTACGTCCGAAATGTAAGGATTGCGTGCGGCCCAGTTGAATTTTTAAAAGTGTAGTTACTGACAAGCTATTGCGCCCACCAGCTTCCATGGTCTACCAGCAACGAGGATCTGGTTGAGCTTTTCACCACGATTGGCAAAGTCGAGCAAGCAGAGATACAATATGAGCCTAGTGGACGATCTCGAGGGACCGGCGTTGTACGCTTCGACAGCACTAGCAACGCAGAGACAGCCATTTCGAAATTCCAGGGTTACCACTACGGAGGACGGCCCCTTGGCCTTAGTTTCGTCAAGTACGTCACTCCAGGTGGGGGCGACAGTATGGAGACGGACGCGCATGGCGGTTTGACGCAAGACCAAATCATGTAGAACACGGCATCTGGCGCGTTCGCTTTCGATTTGCCGGTTTGGCTTGTGCGAAGCCATTCAACATCTCCCGTTTATCGACAACGTTAGTGAACTTTCATGGAGCATAAATGATCATCTATGGAGGTTGGGGTCGGAATAGAACGGACAGGCTTGCCCGCTCTTGCATATCTGTATTATTTATTTTTTTCCGCCCCTCATATCATGTTTCACCGCACAGTCATTTTCCTTGTCCTCTATTTTTTTAAACCTCTCTTTATCTTCATACGTGTATCCCCTTCCGGCAGAGGCGACAATGCATGGTACTCATAGCAAGGAACTGCTGGGGATCAAGACCATCAGTATCGACGACGAGTTCCACTAAGCAATAATTCTGGGGAGGGGGATGGCTGAATTTCGTCGTACTGATTTGCGGTGAGAGGGCTCGATGCTCCGCCTTAGGCAGGACAACATCGAAAAGGTTCCCTTTCTTTACTTGTTTAGCGTTATCAAAAAGGCGGTTACTAGGATCATGATGCCCTAAGAGGAAATGAGAAAGCTTGAGAAGACGCTCCAAATTTAGATTGTATCCCGCGAATAGCATTCGGATTTTCCAGAATTGGGCGGTGGTTGACCTGATTCCCTATACCTCAAGATAGGGGATAGGTAAAACGTTCTAGTGAGAAAGGTATAGGATTCGGTGTGCCTTATCTACGATGTATTGCGGTCGTCAAAAAGCTAGGCTTGGTATTTTGCAGGTCATTAAGAGCTGGCTTGGTTTGTGTATCGTGATATTTGTGACTAAGCGGTAGGAGATGAGCTGATAAGTTTCGAAATGCGGGTGTATTGCATCACCTGTGACAGTACGAAGCAATCAACAAATACAGTAGATAGAAGTTTTATGCTACGTCAATTGCGATTGCATATCAAATATCTGCAGCTTTCTCCACTCCTAAATCTTTTAGGCTATTGTCGGTTCCTTATGATGTCCCAAGTAGATGGATATTATGTACCTACTATCTGTAAATTAGACGAAGTAATCGTATCATCCTGCTTTGCTCATAAAAATGCCGTCTCAAGTAGGGATTCTGTATTATAACAATCTGGAAAAGTATACTAGGTACGATGTTAGTTAGCATGGCTCCTTATTATAATATGTATAGATATATAATATGGCCTAGATATTAACTGTACTACGTATATAACACCCATATTCAAAAGGGACATACGTTTGGTGAACAAGACATCACCAAGTTCGTCGACAAATACCACCAAGTTAAAAAAAATAAAAAAAAATAAAAAAAGGTCTGGCTCTCTTACTATACCACGTATGTATCAGAACGCGACCATTTACTATATAAGAAACGTTTTCCTTCCTTTCATACGAGTTAATGTGAGGGTCCTATTATTAAAGGTGTACTGCTTGTAAGTAGGCGTGGTTAGGGCATAAGAAAAAGCTCGCTAATTGTGATAGTTAAGATTCAAGGGGCAAGTGTCCAAGGGCCTTGAGTATGTAGGCAATTGCAACAACCCCATCAAGGCAGGATGCCGGAGTTGCGGGGAGGCGAGGAAGCTAGTACCGGTTATCAACCTGCTATAGTACGGATGAGCGGCCGGTGACTATGCGTCTCCCTTGCCTTAAGAACACACCACACGGAACGGAAGGTAATTCATTAAGGATTGAGTGTTTCTGGAATGTCTGAATTTAGGGTATTCGAAGCTAAGTTAAGCGATATACCCTTACGGCAGAAGCATATGCCTCGACTCGTTGCTCATAGTCGGCAGCCTCGTGGCTACCTAGGTCTGATAGCAACTCGTCGAATTCACTTTCTCGTCGACGCAGAAATATCTCAGTAGGGCACATGACCTTTCTTTCTCATAACTCCTATTCCGAGCCTATACGTGGAGATCCAAAGATGTATCCTCATCCTCAAACTGATAGCTGCGAATAGGACTCTCTGTCGATATGGACTCAACTCTAGACCAATTCCCAGCGGAGGAGGAAGGGGAGTGAAAATGGATGTTGTGAACCGGATACAAACAACAGATCAGGGAACAGAGGTTGCGGCTGCCCCCTTCTTCTTCTTAGCCTTTCCTTTTCTCTTGCTGCGGTCTCTCGGCTTCAGTGAAGTCATGCCGGATTTGCACACCTCGGCATACTTGTCAAAAAAGGCGGGAAGTGAGTCTGGTTCAACCACGGTCGATATCTTGATCTTGTCTTGGCGGCGTTCTTTGCCTTTGGCATTTGTCGCTCTGATGAGTACGGGCATAGGTTTCGGAGGATGTAGATCGGGAAATATCGTCTCGCTTGTTGATTCTGGCAGGGGCTGATCGTAGGATAATCTTTTCTGTACTAGGATTATAGAGCCATGGTCTTTGCCTTTCCTCTGGTCAAATAGCTCGGTGAGCTTGGTAAAGAACTGTTAGATGATTAGCTAAAAACACAGGCATCGTTTCCATAGTATGATCTAGAGATGCGAACCTCATCATTCGTTAAGTATCCCATCGTAACGTGGGAGGGATGCTCTAAGCGACCAAGAGACAACAAGACTGATGCTGCCCCGCATCCGACGATGATTGTGGTGTTCGTGTTGAGATAAAATAAAAGATTGGAGTACCCAAAAGAAAGGAGACTACCATTGCAGTGGGGCAATATGTACTTAAAAAGAATACCTTGTACCTTAGTACAGTACATGTCATGTACGATGTTCAGTGCAACCTTAAAACTTTAGCACATTCATGGCCCCACCTTGAATCATATATCTTTAAATGTTGATTTTTTCTTAAAACCGAGAATTCGACTTTATGCGAATTCTTCAATAAGTTTCTCAAAGTACTTAACAAGATGGGGCCAGGACTCAAACGGAAACTCTCCCTGCCTTCATCAATTTTAAAAGAGCTAGATGCGCACCCACCTTCCTTCGCAAACGGAAGAGCGCGGCCGAAAAGACAACTCTCGAGAAGGGAACAACGTAAAGCTCAGAGGGTGCAGAAGAGACAGTTTCGCCGGTCGCAGTCGCATCAATTCATTGAATCACGGAAACCTAGGCAGATTTCAAATCCAACTAGTGAGGTCTCCGACGGTAACGTTCTAGATGATGAGCATGACAGTGAGGAGGAAGTCGGTTCTGGATTTGGCTCTGAATGGGAGGAGAGCGAGAGCGTTGAGGAACAGGAGTCTAGTCGATCTCGACACTCCAAGTCAGCACATGTGAAACCTTCCCAGGATGATGCGGAGATTGCGGAACTGGAAAGGAAATTGGGGTTGAAAGGGAGAAAATCTTTACCTAAGTCTTTCGAGGACGACGGCCTCGGCGATCTGCTAGACGGTCTGGGGGATGACGACGAGGAAGATACAGAGGTCGCCTCCAAGAATAAACGCAAAGCAGAGGCAGACGAGTGGTTGGCCCAGAAGAGAAGAAAGGCTCAAGCCGCTGCTCGTTCAACCGTTGGCGATGATGAGGATGATGAGGACGAAGATCTTTCTGTCCTGGACAACGAATCCGAACTGGACGACATGGATGTCGATGGAGAGGATGCTGGTAGCAGTGTATTTCAAGGCTATTCAGATGAAGACCAACCCGAGCCCCCGCGACCGCAGCGAGAAAACCCTTATGTTGCTCCCGTAACGGGGGTTGCGAAATATATTCCCCCGTCGCTCCGGAAGCAGTCCAGCTCAAGCAACGAGGCAGAAACACAACTTCGAAGGCGTGTCCAGGGCTTAATAAACCGCCTAACGAACGATAACATGATCGGTATAACCAAGGATTTCGTGGCTCTATACGACACAAACCCGCGACAGACAGTTACTTCAACCATTGTGGATCTTGTGTTAGCTCTGGTCTGTTCACCGGAGAAGCGGCCGGATTCTTTCTTTGTAATGATAGCAGGTTTTGTCGCAGCGATGTATAAAGCTATAGGTATAGCCATAAGTGCCTACTTTATACAGCAGCTCGTGGAAATCCTAGGTCAGCGTTACGAGCAGGCATCTGGTGACCAGTCGGACTCCGGGTCAAAACATCTCATTTCCCTACTTGCTGAACTTTACAATATGCAAGTTGTCGGTTGCAGCTTAATATTCGACTATATTCACATATTCCTAACTAGGCTTTCCGAGCTCGATACCGAGTTAATTCTGAGACTCGTCCAACTCTGCGGGCCGTCGCTTAGGCGTGACGACCCTCATGCATTAGGGGACATTGTCAGCAACATCAAGCCAGCCAGCTTGCAGGGTATGTCAGTCAGAACAAGTTTCATGATTGATGAGATGAAAAACCTGCAGAGTAACAAGACGAAAGCCGTAGCTCGTAATAGAGACCTCGCAGATCAGCGAAGTCAAATAAGAAAGCGAATCAACACCTTGGGCGGCTCTCAAGACATTCAACCCCTCCGTGTGGGCCTCAGGGACATACAGGATGCCGATAAGCACGGGAAGTGGTGGCTTATTGGGGCCAGCTGGTCTGGCGGTCATAGCAACCCCGTCAATCAAGATGGAACCTCAAACCCAGAGCTAAGCGCGGGTGCGGCCGGCGCCGACGATATGATGGAATATGTTGCAGACGATCTAGGTATTCCAGATCTCTGGCAGCTAGCGAGGGAGCAAGGTTTCAATACCGAAGTAAGGCAGCGTATCTTCATTGCTTTACATGCGGCTACGGACTATGAGAATGCCGAGCTTCTCATCCGGAAATTAAGACTCAATAAGCATCAGCGAAAAGAGATCCCGGAGGTGATCATACGAAGCAGTGAACGGCAGTCTCAGTACAATCACTACTATACTCTGGTGGCCACAAGGTTCACTGGCGACAGGGAATTGTCATTCCAATTTCGGCGTTGTTTAATAACACGGCTTAGGAAGATGGGAGAGGATATTGATATCGGAGACGGAGATGAATTTGACGCAGAGGACGCGGCCGAGTACGACGTGCGATGGATATACAACGCAGCCAGGATATACGGATCACTAGTAGCTAGTCGAACCCTACGACTAGTAGACATAGTCAAGTACCGCAACTTTGCGGCCCTACAAGAAAAGGCGCACATGTTCTTCGAGGTGATGTTTATCACATTGCTCCAAGAGTGTAAGCGTGATGGGCTGAAGGATATTTTCAGTGGTCTAGATACAGACCACGCACGAGGGGTGCAGTACTTTCTGAAGAATAACGTTCGCCAGACGGACCTCCTAAAGAATAAGAAAGAGAAGAAGGTGGTCAAGAAGAATTGCGAGGCGGCAGACCAGGTGCTCAAGACCTTGGCGATAACAGAGTAGAGAGTAGCTACGAGGGTAGAATTATGATATGTAAGCTGAGTCTAGGCTTAGCAAACCGACATCACCTTTTGAGTTGAGGGAATAAAGAATATGGTGTATGTTTTGTGTTTACTTCGGCGATGAGACTAAGCAAAAGATGATCTCTCAACAGGTACATACCGTGACGTTGGTATAATAATTACATCGGTACCTAGAAGTGATCGGAAGTGTGCGGTTATTTTCGGAACAACGGCGTAAACGACTATGAGGTACATAGACTTTTATATAGGATAGCTTTATTGTTGGGCCAATAGGACGGTTGGATGGACCTACATAGATACATAGGTACATTTTAGACGGAAGGTCAATTCCAACATTGAACGCCCGGACCTCCCAAAATTTCCGGAAACTACCTATTATCTAAATCTCTACCGGTTTTATCTACACTATCTACACTTTCAACCGAACACCTGCCTTCTTCCCCATTCCCAACCCCAATCGTCAATTGACATATACTGTCCCTTTTTTGTTTTTGTTCGCTGTAGACAGGTAGACTAAGCGAGTAGTCAGTCGAGTACACCATGCTGACCAGTCGTTTAATACCGCGGACCGTTGTCCGATCTGCTTTCCGTTCTCCCTCATCGTAAGTCGCAGCCGAGCTTCAGCTTCGAGAGACGGAAGCTTAAAAAAAGAAAATTCAAAAATAAATAACTCGCATTCCCGCTAACCCAAATCCTAACCCTAGTTTACCTTCAGTCATCGCCCCCGCGTCGCGATGGAGAAGAGGATACGCTACTGAAGCCGGTCAATAACCTTTTTTTTATTGCGCTCCGCCACTACTTTCTAGACGTATATGCGTAACTAACTCGGCGCAGAGGAGAAGGATCTCGTCATCATCGGTGGTGGCGTAGCCGGATATGTCGCAGCTATCAAGGCTGGGCAGGAAGGGTTAAAGGTGTGCTATTTCAAACCCGATACGGCCATTACTATCATCATATTGCGATAGAGCGCACAAGAAGGGGATTCTAACAAGCTGCCGGTTTTTCTTCCGGCGAATAGGTCACCTGCATTGAGAAGCGAGGCGTGCTCGGCGGCACTTGTCTCAACGTTGGCTGCATCCCTTCGAAATCCCTCCTTAACAACTCCCACATGTACCATCAGATCCTCCACGATAGCAAACCTCGAGGTATCGAAGTCGGCAATGTCCAGCTTAACCTGGCGGCTATGATGAAGGCAAAGGATACCTCCGTCACAAGTCTGACCAAAGGTATCGAATATCTCTTCAAAAAGAATGGCGTCGAGTATATTAAGGGAACCGGTACTTTCGCTAGCGAACATGAAGTCAAGGTCCAGTTAAACGATGGCGGCGAGACAAGCGTGGTCGGCAAGAACATCCTCATCGCCACTGGTAGTGAATCCACGCCTTTCCCAGGGCTCGAATTCGACGAGAAGCGCGTCGTCACAAGTACTGGTGCCTTGTCCCTCGAGAAGGTTCCCGAGAAGATGATCGTCATCGGCGGTGGCATCATTGGCCTTGAGATGGGTTCTGTGTGGTCGAGACTGGGCGCCCAAGTTACCGTCGTAGAATTCCTGGGTCAGATTGGCGGCCCTGGCATGGACTCCCAGATCGCCAAAGAGGCGCAAAAGGTCCTGAAGAAGCAAGGAATAGAATTCAAGCTCAGCACCAAAGTGGTCAGCGGCGACCCTAGTGGTGAGAAAGTCAAGCTAGAGGTGGACTCTGCTAAAGGTGGCAAGCCTGAAAGTGTCAGTAACCATTCCCATGCCTGGACATGTGCGCGCCAAACTCATTTCTAACCCGACTCACCAAAACAGCTCGAGGCAGATGTCGTCCTTGTTGCCATTGGTCGCCGCCCATACACTGCCGGGCTCGGTCTGGAGAACATCGGTCTGGAGATCGACGAGCGGGGCCGTGTTGTAATCGACTCGGAGTACCGCACCAAGGCCTCGCATATCCGCTGCATTGGCGACGTCACATTCGGCCCTATGCTTGCACACAAGGCCGAGGAAGAAGCCGTTGCCGCCGTCGAATACATCAAGAAGGGCTACGGCCACGTCAACTACGGCGTCATCCCGTCCGTCATGTACACGCACCCCGAAGTCGCCTGGGTCGGCCAGAACGAGCAGGAACTCAAGCAACAGAACATCCCATACAAGATTGGAACCTTCCCCTTCAGCGCCAACTCGCGTGCCAAGACTAACTTGGACACCGAAGGTTTGGTCAAGATGATTGCTGATCCCGAGACGGACAGACTCTTGGGCTGCCATATTATCGGACCCAACGCCGGCGAGATGATAGCCGAAGCCACCCTCGCCTTAGAGTACGGCGCGTCAACAGAAGATATTGCGCGCACGTGTCACGCTCACCCGACATTGGCGGAGGCGTTCAAGGAGGCGGCTATGGCAACTTACTCGAAAGCTATCCACTTCTAAGCTGTGTAAATATAGAGCGGGTAGAGGGAAAACAAAACATTCGGAAGGCTAGCATCGGTGTAATGGTGTACAATTAATACAGCATGTGGACAGAGTGAACTATCTAGTGAAGAGTCTTGACCGACCTGACGATTCCTGGGGAAAGTCGTGTATTTACGCCCTGATGCCTTTGATTTGTTAATGGCGATTTGCTGTTGAGTTCGAGTACATTTCTCATGCCAGCAGTTGCCATGGTCGTCGACTCCTCGGCGTTCATATCTAACCAAGCTCTTAACGGCTTTTCCTTAAGATCACTAGATACATGATTATTTATGAATCGGATACGCGAGTTAACATAGTAATTGCCGTACGAGGTAATTATAATGATCTTCCTTTTCGCTAACATACACTTTTCAACGCATGTGATTACAATAAGATAAACACGTACGTCACGGTTGGGGACGAGGCAGGAGAGGGCGGTAATGATGGATGATCTTCGTGCTAAATTTCTCATATCATCGCTATATCGTCATGATATCCTTTTTTTGACGCTGCCCAACAACCTTACTGAGTAATTTACTCGCCAACTTGGCATGCTTCAGCCGCTTTCAGAGCATTCGCAAAGACAGATGTTAAATTATCTTCTAATCCAACGCTGACCCGGAGTAAGTCGGGATTTACTCCGTACCCGGCGGCCCATTCCAACTCCTGATAATGGGCCAGAACCATGTATGGCGAGGTTAAGGTGAAGTTGGTGCCTAAGCTCGGTCCTTTGGCTGTTTCAAGGGCATCGAAGAATGCCATGGCATGAGCTTTAGTTTTTAGTGTGAACGACAAGAGCCCGCCGTAGCCTCCGTTTGGCAATTTACAGATCTCGTAGTTGGGCCTGGTCTCGTTGTATTTGGTGTAGTAAAGATTAGTGACTAGTGGATGCGCCTTTAAGATGTCACAGATGGCCTCAGCATTCGTATTAACTCTATCAATACGGGACTTGAAGTCGCGGCTGTTCCTCTCCATGAAGATAACGTCCTCGGCCCAATACGTATCCTCGAATTCGTTCGCCATGACGGATTTTAACGAGTCATAGTACCGACTGTTCGGGTTCAGGATGATGCTGCCGCCCATAACGTTGCAGTCCCCGGAGAAAATTTTGGTCAGACTGCTGACGACGACGTCGGCAAAGGGGAGTACGTTGACGTTGACAAACGTGCCCACCGTTTCGTCAACTACCACGGCAAAGTCGTACATATCGGCCAATCGTCGGATGCGTACGAGATCGGGGCAAGTCAATAAGGGGTTGCCGGGAAATTCACAGAAAAGAGCTAGGAACCTCTCTCCATTCTGTAGGCGACCCTCGAGGTCGTCAAGGTCTGAAGAAGAGCCGTAGCCGTAGAAGATGGCACCCGGGCCGAACTTTTGCAAGATCTTGAGGGTGTCCACATACGGGAACCCGAAGTTGATACTCTTCCGAGGCTCTCGCGCCTTGAGGAGGGTCTGGTGAGTAGTAAAGATAGCGTTCATCCCGCAGGGAACCAGATATATATCGTCCTCCTTGAAGTTTGAGATCCCGCGAGCGTTGGAATCCATGGTTGGAAATGCGGTAGTGCTTTCCAAATCGATATCTGTGGTCAGGACGCCGGCGATGCGACGCCTGATAGCCGACTTAGCGTTGGGAACCAGGGAGAGGTCGAGGTTCCTCCCATATCGTTCTTCTAGGAACCGCGAGGTTTCGAGTGAATCTGTTGTGCCATTATCCGTGGTCGTCTCTAGAGTCACGGGGAAATGACGGCTAGCCCCGTTTGATCCGTTCGTATTATGGTCGATGGAAGCTGTTCTTCGGTATCTCTTTGGTCCCCGGCATAACTTCTGCTGTGCTGCTGGAGGCGGCGATGCCTGCTCCTCGGGGACTAGTATGTTTTCGTTAAACAGGCCGTGGCAGAATTCCGCACGTCGACTTGACACACCATCGCCGGAATGCTGCCAATACTGTTTAACAAATGGGAATGTCTCCGCGGAGCATAAGACAGCTGAGATAGACGGCGTAGCGGATAGCAATGACTCCGGCGGTTTTTTGGCGGGATCTAGAACCAAATGAAGGACACCAAGGTTGGCGAGGGCAGACTGCGGGGCCTTGTCTCGGACGAAGTCAATACATCGATTTGCCGTCTTCCTGGTCGGGAACAGTATAGCCTGCTGCTCTTCAGTCCCATATCTGGCGGCAATGTCGCGACCAAAGGCCTGTATGCTCTTGTGGATAAAGAACCTTGGATAACCCGTGACCATAGTGCCGAGGACCCATTGCTCGCCCTCCTCGTACCCCACGTTGGATTTCCAGGTGGGAAGCGAGACACTCACGGCCTACGAAAGAGGTTAGCATTCCTCCTTATTCCCCTGAGGGGCATGATAAAGACCCACGTGAGCAGTATTCGGAGGTATCGAATCTCCCAATTCGATTGAAGGCATATTGATTATGTATGTTAAGTAATGATATTTGGTGTGACCTAAGTATACACGAGAGGGATGATGGGTTTGGGTCGATGGGGTTATTAATCTCAGCTAGGTCGGACTGCGTGTCTTTGGAAACGGGTACGGCGAAACTACCTAGTATAGAGTTAAGTAATTCTATCTTCCATAGGTATACAGGGTTAAGGTTTGAATGTTGTTTAATAGGGCAGATGCCGAGGATCGGAGGTAGAATTTTTGAAGTGACTTATACTTTTAAAGTTAGATTTTCGGCTTTCTTGATTGGTCATTATTAGTTACACATGCATGGATACATGATATCTGTAGGCGCGGATGTACTTGTGGCGTACCCCCATTACATCACCGTGCATCCTACTAGATGAAGATTGCATTAGGTACCCCGATCTATGGATGCCCATTTGATTCAAAGCCGTTACATGCCACATGGGCGTAGTACATATCATGTACATGACTACATGTCGCTACTCACTTTCTCTATAGAGTTAATTATCATCAAGATAATATTTATCTTCTCTTGTTTGCTACTCTATTGATATACACGACCGAATATTATAGACTTGCAAGCCTGGTTTCCCAACAGATATATTTCGGAGTGACGCTTTGAACTTCTTGACGAAATGCAGATCAACAATGTGATTTTGCCATGTCAGAGCTCCGCCACAGACATGGACATATGGGATATCGACGTCGAAGATGGCAAGGTTTCTCAAATACGTCCCTCCAATGGTGTAGTCGGCAAACCTCCTAAACTCCTGCTGCCAGCCCTCTGCCACCCACATATACACCTCGACAAACCGTTTATCCTTACTTGCGGACACCCATCTTCAAAAACTCGGCCTGATTATTCCGATCTTGTTCCCCGGACTGGCTCTTTCGATGAGGCTCTGTCAAATACCTCCAAGGCCAAAGAGCGCTATACTGAAGAGGACCTTTACCTCCGAGGTTCTCAGCTTCTGGCGACAAGCTACGAACAGGGCGTAACCTCCCTCCGTGCTTTTGTAGAAGTAGACCATGTCACCGGAGCATTGCCTCTAATGATCGCGATCCGTCTCAAGTCCGACTTCTCCCACTTGCTAGATATGCAGATATGCGCATTTGCCCAGGATCCTATCTTCTCCACCATCCACGGAGAATCCAACCGGTCCATCATTACCTCCCTCTTGGGAGAGTACGCTCCATATGTTGAGGTTTTAGGGACTACCCCCTACGTCGAGGAGTCACGAGAAGCATCATTGCAGAATATCGAGTGGGCCATCGCTACCGCCCTCCGCCATGATCTCCACCTAGATTTCCATTTGGACTACAACCTAGCCCTGCCTTCCCCTTCCAACGCGCCCTTGACATTTTCAGTCCTTGAGCTCCTTAAGAAGCATAGATGGCTCGAAATCGCCAAGGGCTCCAAGACCATAGTCCTTGGGCACTGTACACAACTCACTGTCCTCTGCAACTCGGACCTTCAGCATCTCGCCGAACTTGTCATCCAATCTGGGCTTCCAATCCATTTTGTTGGCCTACCTAACAGTGACATGTTCATGATGGGCCGCCCCAGTTCAGCAGCAGACACGATGCAAGCTCGCCCGCGTGGAACATTGCACGTTCTTTCCATGATTAAGGACCTTGGCCTATCCGCGGTATGTAACACAGAGTCCTTCTCCCCTTCAACCTGTCTCGGCAGCGAGAGCTTCTCACTCGAACTAGTCGCGGAGATTTACTCCTAATATAATTTTAAATCTCCCAAGTACGTCGCCGAATAAGAAATTGCTGACTTTCGTCACGGAAGTGTATCGGCGTAAATAATGTTGGAAATGCCTTTACCCCTTTTGGTTCCGGCGACCCTTTACAAGCTGCCTCATGGGGGGTTGGAATCTACCAAGCTGGAACTGTAGCCGATGCGTTGATCCTATACGGCTGTGTAAGTTGGCTAGCTAGGAGAGCCATCGGTCTCGAAGGGAGCACTGAGGATAACGATGTTATCGAAAGTCGATCTTTACAGGGCATGCTCTTAATAAGAAACAAAGAGCATATCACACTGCCTAGCGCCACCCATGGTCCCGAATTAAAGATACCGGCAAGAAAACGGATGAACATCAGGGACATCATTTGGGATCCGCCCGAGATCATGATGAGATCCATCATAGGGCGAAGAAAACTTGAGCTCGACAGCGATGCTTAGAGACCATATGGCTCTTCTAGCTAACTGGCCAATTAGTTTCTAAGGACATGTTGAGAAAGAGGTATATTGGGAGAAAATCGTGCCCAGGCTTCCTTTTGGATTAATCGTGATTATTAATTTTCTTAAAAAGAATAGGTAATCGCCATTGCCCTTACATCACAGAGCAAGGTGAATCCGAGTAATCAGGCCCAAATATCTCCCTATTCCTTTCGCGCTCGTTTGCCCGGATCTTTTCTTTAACTTCCTTTGGGAAATATTCGCGAAGAAATGCCGCACGCGCACTATCGAAGTTTTCCAAACCGGCTCTCATGATCACATCAGCTCGGCAAAGGGGACAGAACCTTTCTCCTTTTCGAGACATCTTGACGAGACACCGACTGCAGAATACATGCTGACATTCCAGTCGAACCGGCCAGTACGCCACTGCAAAGCAGATTGGGCAAAGATAATCGTCAAGCTGTGGAACGACAGAAATGAGTTCGGTTGACATTTGTGCACATAAATCCTTAGCCACGCTCCCAGCTAAGAGGTGATTGGATCGTACAGTAACAGGGAATACGCGAGAAACACCTAGCGAGGTCCTCTTGTCGAATTCTGTCCTTGTTAGTAAGGAAGGGGTCAAGGCGAATAGGTTATATGCTTGGTGACAAACTTTTGAGTATCTTGGTTACCGCTAAATTATTAATCTCCTGGAATTTGAGAATTTGCAGGAGCAAAGCGTTCGTGTTGAGAAACCTGGTATAGGCTTGCCGGCTGTTATTCAACTTCAGGCCATGAACTAGTTTTCTCGATAGCACCTGGTCTTGAAACCATCGCAGCTGTTCAACTGCTTGGGAACTTGTCCTAGCTCCATGATCACTCTCTAAAGTGGAAAAGAAGACCCGGGCATCCAGGTACAGTTCAAAGATCTTACGCCACGTCTCCAGGTCCCCCCTTACTTTCCGGCCCTTCGATGGTTTCGTAGCTATGTTAATTTCCTGTCCCAGGAGTGCTATCTCTTTTCCTAACTTATCTTGTTCTTCTTCTTGCAACACGTCCAAGTTTGAAACATCAGTCTGCAGGATGTCGAAGAATTCGCCATCAAAGACTAAAGGTACTTCAATCTGTTGAATCGACGACAAGTACTCCTCAGATAGAGGAGGTCGCTGTGGATTAGGAGAGGTAGGAGATAGGGTTTCATGGCCAGGTTCATCCACCATCGGATCCGATACGCCTTCGGTCCTGGGAACGATCTTCTTCAGGAAATCTCTTGTGGACGGGGTCAACTTCGCGTCTACGGCCACACCATCCTTTAAGTGTATGAAGAAAGTTAACCTTGGTCGAAAGTATTTTGAATCCGTAGTCTTGCCATCTAAATGATAGTGAAAGGCCACTGTAGATGGGTCTTTTTGAGTATTGGCCAACTGAGCCAGAGTATCCTTGTCCAGGCCAAGCTCCTGGAGTTCATTTGTAACCTTCTTGAGACACTTTTTGAGCTGGCCGTAGGGAACGGCGGAACTAACCCATCTTTGAGGGAAGCCTACATGAGAAAAAGCTGATAAGCGACTAGTTGTGAGCAAGGCCTGCAAGAGGATGATCTACCTTCTTGTTGTAGAGATTTCCTGAATTCCTGGGCAAACTTCATGAGAACCGGTATGAATGTGAGATAAACCAGTTAGTTAGCTTAAAGGCCAATAAGTTAAGTTAATCGTCTTATTCCGCCAAGTGATTTCCGCACGTGACAACAAGAGGAGGATCGTGGAAATCGTATAATTGTGAATGTGGTGATGATGTGAGATGTAGTACCGGTGGGTGAACAGAACTATAGCAGGGACGTAACGAGGAGTACGGATTGGGTGACATATATCTGAATATATGTATGTGTAGGCAAATAGACATATGTAGGACCTAACGTATAGGGATTAAGAATAAGGAGAGAGATAGATATGTATAATGCATGGGGCAAACATTTCCAAGTTCCAAATTCAAATTCTCTTCTTAACTAATACTAGGTACCTACCTACTGTCTAACTTAATTCTATGTACCCTATGTATCTTGCGTACTGCCAAGGTACTTGAGTAGGCGTTTTACCGCTAATACTGGGAGGGTAGTACCTTCTCAGGTACGACATGTACCAAGTAGGTACTATCTACCTAGTTCCACCAGACAGGCATCTCTGATGCGACAATCCTCTGCAGCCTTAGCAGATCAAGCCCAGGTAGTTTGCCCCTGCGTGGTCAGGCGACCTATCATATTTCTGCGCCTATCTATGTATGTACATGCATAGGTACACATAGTAGGCCAAGCCGGATTGCCAAGTATCATGTACCTGATGGGTAGCTTTGAGGTACAATGCGGGGGTTATTTTGTGCAAAACGAGACCGTCTAAATACCTAAACCTATTAGGTTGCGGGGTACAACGGCATTCTACATATAGGTAGGTATGTATGTAGGTAAATATATATGACTTATGCAAAAATTAGAGATTATCATATATAAAATCAACATTTCCAGGGTTAAATACTCAAACACCATTGTCAACTAAACCGAATCCACACGATGGGCGCCCAGCAGTCGTCTTACGCGGACACTGCGGCAAGGAACAATTCGCCTAGGAAAGCAGACTACTACGAATTACTTGGTGTTGACCGTCAAGCCAGCGATGACGAGTAAGCAGAAGCCTCCCCTCTATGAATATGAACCTCCGTCCTGACACGAACTTCGTCAGGATCAAGAAGGCATATAGAAAAAAGGCTCTGGAGTTACACCCGGATCGAAACTACGGCGATGTCGAAAACGCGACGCAGAGATTCGCTGAAGTCCAAGCCGCCTACGAAGTCCTTTCCGATCCGCAGGAGCGCGCTTGGTACGACTCTCACCGCGATGCCATTCTCCATGGCGAGGACCCGGCTGATGATGGGGCAACTCCTGAATATCACAACGTTCGCCTAATTAGCGCCGACGAAATTTATAGATTGATTGGCCGCTTTAACAAAAGAATCCCCTTCGACGATTCCCCTCGCAGCTTCTTTACCATCTTACAGGATACGTTCGACAGGATAGCCCAGGGAGAAATCGCAGCTAGCGAATGGGATGGTCTACCACCCACCGAATACCCTCCCTTTGGTACATCTGAGGATGACGATATAGTCGCGAAGGCCTTTTACAACAGGTGGTCCAAATTTTCTACTAAGCTTGGGTTTGCCTGGAAGGATAAATGGCGACTTTCAGATGCGCCGGATCGGAGGGTGCGACGCCTTTTGGAAAAGGAGAACAAGAAATTCCGAGAGGATGGCATACGCGAATTCAATGATGCCGTTCGGTCCTTAGTTGCTTTCGCTCGCAAGCGCGATCCCCGTCCCGGTTCTAACGCCCAGTCCGAGGCAGAGAGACAGAAGATTCTGCGTGACTCGGCTGCTGCACAAGCTGCCAGGTCGAGAGCCGCAAATCAGCAGAAGATGAACGATCCTTTCGCCATTCCCGAGTGGGTCCAATCACAGGACCAGGAATTGCACCAAGGGGAATTCTCCGAGACCGACGAAGAATCCGAGGTCGAACACATAGAATGTGTAGTGTGCAATAAGACATTCAAGAGTGAGAAGCAATACGAAGCCCACGAGAAGAGCAAGAAGCACTCGAAGGCCGTTCAGCAGCTTCAAAGGCAGATGAAGAAGGAGAATGCAAGCCTTGATTTAAACAAGGAGACTCCGACATCGATGTCAGAGATACCGGTCGTGGATGCCAATGACGAAGAGGATGAGAAGGTTGACGCCAAGAGTAGCACGCTCGGCATCACGCAGACGGACGCATCTAGCCGAACCGAAGTAGCTTCTAGAACTGATACAGAGCCTGCAAGCTCACGTGTCACAACGGTCGACTCGGAGGATGAGAGCGAACATGACGACTATGCCTCGAGAGATGTCATCGAAGAGCGTCTTGTCTCGGAGAAGCAAAGAGAATCTGACCCTTTGCGGGGCGATGGGGAAAGCTCCATTGAAGATGTTGTCGATGGAGTAGAAGATATCTCACTCGCGAGTAGTGAACCTACCAAGAAGGTGGGCAAGGCAAAAGCCAAAAGGGAGAAAAAAGCTGCTCGTCAAGCTACTTCGAGGCAGCAAGACGACACGGTAAGCTGTCGCAAAGATTTTATCCGGCCAGCTCGACTCAGGTGACATTAGCTAATTTCCACGGGAGTAGAAGTGCACGGCCTGCGATAACACATTCAAGTCGAGAACGCAGCTTTTCAAACACCTGAAGAAAACTGGCCATGCGGCCACAAAGATCGTCGCATCAAACTCGAACAAGAAACGGCGCTAGATGATTGTTACCAAATGATCCAGAAGTTTGTATCGATATACCGTCTAATAACCCAGCAATGGAATCAATCATTTCCCCCGCCAGCCCCAACATTTGCCCTCGTATCTAATGGCTTGGCGACAAGAACGTGTTACTCGATGGTTTCCGTTTTGCAACGACCCCAGAGCCGAAGTGGGCTACTTCTGGGGCGGTAACCTGCCGTTGCTTGCCAAATTCCCGTGGTAAGTGTTCATGATATTTACATCACCAATGATAGTTCATAATCCCCCTGATCCACGCTTAACGCCTGACTATTACCTAGTGGTATTCCCTGATACACCAAACCGAGAAACATTGCGCCTGAACCCGGCTTATTCTTCCGCTACGTCAACCTCCTCGTCATCGTCATCGCTCAAAGTCTGAACCTCGTCAATGGGCCCCCCAGACTCGTGCATATGTGCGGTTGGGTCGTGGTCTGACACGTGAATGATGGCTTTACCCTGGACGTGTTTGACGCTCCTCCGCCAATCCCTCCAGTCTTCCTCATCTCGAATCAGAAAGCCGATAAGCATGCTAGGATCCATTTCCTTGACATGGAGTCGTCGGAGTTTTCTTGTATGACAAGTATCAACCTCTTCTTCGGTATACTCCTCGGGTTCTTCGTGATAGGGCAATGCGGGTCGCGTGTAGTGAGGATCCAAATAAAAGAAGTGAAGGCCTTGGACACCGATGAAATAGTGCGAGGATGACGGGCGTCCACTGTGATCTCTAGTTAGCCTCCAGCACCATTATATAGAGAGAAAAAAACTATAGTGACCAACCCAGCAATGCCAATCGACTGCGGCATCTGCAAAGATGCCGTAAGAGCTTCCCAATATACTGGGGTGATCTTGTCGATGCCGAGTCGCGTGCCAACTAGTAACACGGTCGGGTGAAATGTGGTGTTGTCAGGGTTCGCGATTTTCATGAAGTTGTCCTCATAGACATCCGGGCCATCCCCGGTAGAGTAGACGCGCAGCGTAGGTTCAGTCGAATTTGTCAAGGCTCTATTGTCGCCGATTAATCACTGCCGTCGTAACACTGGGATGTGAGACAAGGTACTTACTGGATACACCTCGCCGTTGCTGAAGGACCAAACCATTCGCCAGGATATTTCCCGCACGCGGCGGCGCCATGGCGAACGAAGTTGTGTATCGAATACGGAGCTCGTGGGTCGTCGGCAAATAGTGATAGGATCTTCTTCTCCCCCAGGTCCGGCGTACTCCTTCTCCATCCTGTAAGTAATTTAGCACCGGCGTCTGAAGGCTTCGACCTTTCTACTTTGCGGGGCCCAACATACCTCGACCGAGACGGTGTACGAGCATGGCATTGGCCAACAAGCTCTGGCCAGATCTTATCATACATCCCCACCCACTATCCGAGGCAAAGCCAGTTTGGTCACTCAATTGACTTTTGAGACGCATGGAAAAGGATAAGGCAGAGAGTGCCTTTGGGTCTTGCGACTTGGCAATGGGGTCGAATTCTGATCGATAAGTCATCCATATTCTGGATTCGAAATCATCGAGAAAGGCAGGAGGCCAACCGCCATCTAGAGGTGCCTCGTCATAGGCTAAGGACGAGTCAAAGCTGCTAGAGGTTGAATCAGGAGGGGTCTCGGGTAGCCTGGCGGGAGCTTGGATGGGATCTTTGGTAGGTGGCTCGGAAGCGGAAGCGGAAGCTGGAGTCGGAGCTGGAGCTGGAGCTGGAGCGGAGGTAGAAGAAGGGTCGGGTTTAGGACTTGGGCTGTTGTTGAGCTTGTAGGAAGATCCAAGACACCAGACCGGTTGGTCGCGGATAACATCATTGGTTGGTTCGGGATCCCAGAACATCTGGACAATGCGTCTGCCAAGATCTACTGTAGTATCCATATTGCAGAGTGGTTATGTTGTGAGTCGACTAGTTTGTTGTAATAGCTTTCAGTGGCTTTCAAGGCCCCCTCCTGGAGATAGGTTGACCAGGACACGGTGGTAACGATGGTCGAGACAGAGATAGCAGCAATAACAGCAACAGCAAGCGCAGCGAATATAGGCACACTAAGGAAATTAGAAGAGATGAGGATAAAGAACTCTATGATAAACAGGGTTATTAAGTAATGCCGTCAACTTCTCACGGAGAGAAGAGGATAAGGGTGGATTTGGATAATGGAAAAGGCAAATTGATGACTAGAGCAGCAGAAGACGACGATTCGAAGGACAGGAGGGCGAATGGGCCGGATTCAGTGTTTAGATCTATAGACAAAGTTGAAGATATGATATTAGCAATTCGGTGATCGGTGATGAGCGAGAGACCTGGAGACCCGGAGACCTGATGTTTGGTGATTGAAGCGACAAAGTCGGGAATCTTGGAACCTTGGAACCTTTTGAGCCTGGGAGCATTTGAAGTCAGTAAGTCATCCGGCACCGCCCTCAGGACTTCTTTAACCTTGCGAGTTAGTGGACTTTGCTGGCTAGATGGAAGCTAACTAGGTAGGTAACTAGCGGATAAGCGGGGAGAAGGGGGGCGCTGAATGAATTGGTTGCCTTGTGACAAGCTCATGGGGGCATGGGTGATCTTATCGATAACAAAATACTGTGCTACCTCTGACACAAAGGCAGAAGGACATCAGGCAAGGGCAGCTATGCGTAATGTGTTATACTTTCCTAAGGCTGTTGGAACTTCCGATTACATTTGGTAGATTCAATGTTTTAAAGCTTCACAAAGAGTTCCTGCCTAAGGGGATTAACTTCCATTTGATGATATCAGAGCGGTTTCTACTTTTAGATATGATCCGATCCACATTATCGTCATCAGAAAGTTGTCTATTTTCTCTCATCCCAACCTGACTCAACTTGCTCAACCCCCTAAACTAAATTTCCTCAGTTTTCTCTCTACCTCCTCGCATCTCGTAATAGGCCGTCGACTCTACAGCGATACTATGGCCAAAAATAAAAAGCGAGGCGCCGGCCCTAAATTAAAAGGCCAGCGATTTCCTCATCGCAAGGATGCCTCCTCCGGAAATCATTCTGGAGAATATGGTGGCAACAACTCATCGTCAGCCCCCCAAGGATTCATACGAGCTCATGGTATTTCTCTTGTCCATCCATTATTCAGCTTATCCTTTTATCCTATACCAAGTCTAATCTATTTCTAGGCTATACGCTTGCCGACGAGGCTAGGAACACAGCATCTAATCGCCGTGGAGCTTATGGCCGTGATGCCAAACTGAGATACAAACCCGTCACATTTATTAGTGCTGGCCTGATGGATCCGTTGAAGGATCTAAATGTTCAATTAGCTGCTACAGATGAAGCACGGGAAAATGCGGGCGACACAAAGGAGCCTCTTCGTGCAGGCATAGCTCCTCCTATGGACGTCCACGCGTTTGAAGACTATGTTTCGTCTGCATCTCCTGGTGAAGGACCGTCCGATAACCAACGGTTGTCTAACAGGACCGGGCCTTCTTCTGATCCTGACTCTGACCACAGCTGTGATTCTAGTGAGGATGTTATACTGTTCAAGGGAAGAGATCGCAATCGCATCCGCCAAGGTGGCGCCAATTCCGACTCTCTGAAACTCCGCGAGCTGGACCTTGAACTGCAGGCAGTCGAAGAGACACTCCGTAAAGACGCAGTTGGACCAGTGGATACTATCAAGAGACTCTCCAACAAGCCGGACGATTTTATTTCCCTAAGTCCTAAATCCAAAAGACATAACCGACGCCACAGAATGGGTCAGGGTGCCTCAGCAGACGATATGGCCGCCGTGATTGCAGATTACATGTCTAATATCGAGGGCTGGGGAGAGGAAAACGACCAAGATACCGGACACTCGGGCATGGGTTCTCATAGTTTTAGTGTGCTGAGAGACCTGGGTGGTACTGATAGCGATGCGGTTCCCGACGAAGTCTCTAGCAAAGACGGCACAGACCTTGGATCGGATATTGGAACTGACGTGGAGAACCAGCAACATCGTCTTGAGACAGAGGACCAACGGATTGCACGCCTGCTCGCTAAACAAGAGGAGTTGGGGCTCGGCGGCGATGATGTTTTGCTCTTTGACGGAGAAGCGTCCGACGATGAGTGGCTTACACCCACCAAGGCCCCCCCACGCCGCAAGAGGAAAGGTGATTCGAAGAACGCCAAAATCATCCAAAAGAAGGGTCAATATCCAAGTGCAACGCAGATGGCGGATGCATTCGACGAATTAGACCTCATGGATTGGCATCGACCTAGCCTTAAAAATTTCCCGCCGACATTCGATGTATCTGACTCTGAGCTCGAGGAGGCTATGAAGATATCTTGGCAAAAGGATCGTCTGAAGAAAGCGGAGAAGAAGAAAGCCCGGGAAGAACTACGATCGCAGGGGCTACTCGGCAAAAATACCAATCCCGATGATCTTCGAATCAAATATCTCGGCGGCATGTCCCTTGATGATCTCGCCAACGAGCTCGAGACCTTTCTCCTCGGCTCTCAAGAACAGTAAGCTACTTTGGCGTTCGTTGCCGCACCGCGTGCTAAGACATACTGATGTTTCCCTAGACTTATTTTACCCCCATTTGACAAGGGCGCTCGTAAAACTATCCACATGGTAGCCAACAAATTCAAAATCAAGTCGCAATCTGCGGGCAGGGGCAAGGATAGATACCCGGTTCTCTACCGCTCGAGAGCAACGCTCCCGTTTGATCAAGACACCTTTGATAGAACATTTAGTCGCATCAAACAGACCTGGTTCCCTCGCGTTGACGCCGACGAAAAAATAGTGAACGAAAGCCGGATTCTCAAACGATCTGAAGTTCGAAACGGCAAATCCCGTTTCAAGAGTTCTCTAACTTATCGTGATGGCGACATCGTGGGTCAGCACGCCGCAGAATTAGGGGCAGAAAATAGGGGAAGGGCGATGCTGGAAAAGATGGGATGGTCAAAGGGAATGGCCTTGGGAACTGGGGAGAACAAGGGCATCATGGTACCCATCACTCATGTGGTGAAGAAAAGCAAGGCCGGACTTGGCGACAATTGAAAGCACTTCATTCTAAACGGGTTCGTTGATATGAATTATCTGCTGCAAATCCACTATCACAATTGCATAGAATCAGGCCCCGGGTGGCGTACCGAGCTAACAATATCGGTGCGGCCTATTATTGCATTATTATAACCAAGCAAATCAGAGCTTAATCCATCACTGACTACCTAATCTTATGTACCTAGTGAAAAGCATTACTAGATCGCGAACCTACTTCACATAGATATCTCAGAGCAGGATTTACATCGGACCATCAAAGACGAGTGACTACGGGAAGAAATGAAACATTATTCTGGTGGCGAATAATTCAAACGACTGATTACATGGCCAAGCTCCTAGTCAATTCATTTGTCCCAACGTGATTCTTGGATAAACGAGGTCCCATCGCCCACCGCTCCAATAATTTGGTGCCCCGCGACCCGCACCCGGAAAACATACTACGTAGAATAAACATGCTTTAGAAGTGACAGGAATTAGGTATTATCACGTCAATCTTATTTTTCACGACTATTGGTGCCATTTTGTTTGTTTGTTCATATGCAGATTCATTCCGTAGCCCTATCGGGAAAATGTAGTGTACAACCGCAAACCCCATACCGTGTTGTGCGAGAACATTGACCCCTTAAAAAAGCAAACCATCCGTAACGCATTATGAGACTCCCGTATCAGGACTTGCATGCCATATGCTTTGGCAGTCTCGTCATCATGCCAAAGCGAAAAAGAGAAGTCCCATGCCCAAAAGAGAAACCAGACGCAGAAAACCAAGCACTTATTTGGTCGATGACGAGTACTTGGTCACTGCCTTGGTGCCTTCAGACACGGCGTGCTTGGCAAGCTCACCGGGCAGGATCAGGCGAACTGAGGTCTGGATCTCTCGAGACGAGATGGTGGACTTCTTGTTGTACGCAGCCAGCTTGGATGCCTCGGTGGCGACTCGCTCGAAAATGTCTAGAAGACTCGCATTAGGAGTTTGACTTCCAAAAAGCGCGTGACAACGCGTAAATGGGCACGACTTACCGTTCACGAACGAGTTCAAGATTGACATGGCACGGTTGGAGATACCGGTGTCGGGGTGGACCTGCTTCAGGACTAGGAATTGGAGTTAGCACAATTGGAGGACGAATCGAGTCGCGACGCGTCAATGACCAAAACATGGTTGAAATATGACGCGTAAATGCCGAGGCTGGTATCTGGCTTACCCTTGTAGATGTAGGAGGAATAGGTCTCCTTGCGCGCCTTGGTACGCTTCTTCTTGTCGCCAGTAGCCGCGGTCTTCTTGCCGGCATCCTTCTTCTCGGGAGCCTTCTGCGCGGTTGCGGGAGCCTTAGAGGCGGCGGGCTTCTTGTCAGCAGCTTTGGGAGGCATGTTGAATAATTGAGTGGATGAGAATTGTTTTGGGTTTGTAAGATGTGTGTTGGGGAAGATGCAAGAATTGGAAATTCCAAATGCTGGTTGCGTTGATAAATGTTTGTGGATGAGAGATGGAGAGAGAAGTCAAAGATGGTTGACTTAGAAAAGGTGGTGGGTGGAAGGCCTTTTTGTATTGGCCCCGGGAACTTAGCGTGATTACTGATTTGATCCTCGTAAGGTTTGACTGATTGACCTTGCCTTGTGTTGCGCGGTTGCACGTTTAAAAAATAAAAAGGGTACAAGTATAACGTACTTTCTGATAAGCTACTACTATTATGCACGCCCCGCCTTCCGGCAGCACAGCACCAGTAGACGCGCTAGAAACGGTTACGCGTTTATCGCACAGACCTTTATGCCGACAGTGCGAGCTGAGAAAACAGTGGACAAAATGGGAAATATTAAAAAATTAACATAAGCTCTAGCCAATCAGATATTTTAAATCTCTATGAATTTTATATTCTATGTACCCATTACAGTTTAACTACATACAGTCCCTTACAGTTTTTACCTCTCCGCTTTTTATTCGATTGTTCTCAACCAATATAGCAGTAGTACGTACCTACCCATTATCGATTACCGCTTACCCACAGCTTCCCAAACTTCCATGTTGTCTCCACCCAACTCCGTGACAGCAGGTCAGCTGTCGTGCGGCACGCTCAACATCAACAGTCACCGGCGCCGTTTACTCGTGAAGGAGCCCGGGTGACCCGTAGCCTCCGAGAAAATTATACCCGAAGTCATCGCCACCTCCCGATTTCCCGCAACCTCAGGAGAAAGCCCGCTGAACCCGTAGGTACCTTCCAGGACCTCCGTATGTCTCGGCTCCGAATCAACCTGCCTTTATAACTAAAAATAGGCTTGATGTACCTTCCGGCAATGCATTTGTAACGAACTCACCACCTAGCTACTTTAGCTTCATGTACTGACACCGGCTGAAAGTAGGCCTGATACAGCCCTTAAAGCATGTAAACAAACCTAACACCAGAAGACTGCATATTTTACTACATGAGCTTCATTTCTAACACTTCGATACATAATCTCGCTTTTATATCAAGCGTGCAAAACTGTAATCATTCTCTAGGGCCCCCTGTAAACCTTCGAAAATGTCCATGGCAAGGTAGTGCAAAAGGGACACGCGAACCGATGAAATCCAAGCACTTAATTACACTGCCTAAGCATAAATGGAAATAAGGATTGTAAGAGGTGCCGCATCACAATTATTATAACTGATTGTATTGCAAAAAAAAAAGGAAGAGAACCTCTAAAATATGGGATTGGAATGGAAATGTGTTTATTTTTCGCTGATAGATACCATTAGTAGAAACTACCCCATGTTGCATGATCAAATCAAATCACAGTCTGTTGTCCAATAACCGAACTGTAATTGGAATGAGGAATGTTTAAATAACTGATCTTTATTCAGGTACTATGGGAAGCTACGGTAAATGGTCTGTGCTTTTTAGTACCTAAGTATATTTTTAATTCCTTGCATGCAGCGGTGATGCAGCGCTGCTGCTGTTATTATTTTTCTGCCGAACCCGCAGCTCCCCCGAAATTCGGCCTAAAGCGGACTAGGCTGGTAATCCACCTAATTTTTGGTGATCTGTGATTCTGATTTTAGGACGCGCCCCGACAATACTTAAACATCACATCCCCCACCAACCTTAGACTTCTTCCTCTCATTTACATCTTCTCGTATCAGCTTCATCAACCACAAACAACCATTCATCACCGCACTCCCGCGCGCTTTTTGAAGCATCAGTCAATTACGACATCACTTACGAGTTACTTTACCTTTCTCAAACATCAACTATCAAGATGACTGGAGGCGGCAAATCCGGCGGCAAGGCCAGCGGTTCCAAGAACGCGCAATCGTAAGTCATCGCCATATCTCGCAGGTCTTGCGCATGTTCGGATTGGGCTTCAATCGTCAAACATGACGCGTCTTCCGTCAAATATCGCAATGCTTCCACTTTCAAGTTCGATTCCCTCTAACCTGAGCTATCTTTTAGGCGATCTTCCAAGGCTGGTCTCGCTTTCCCCGTTGGTCGTGTTCACCGACTCCTCCGCAAGGGTAACTATGCCCAGCGTGTTGGTGCTGGTAAGTCGCGTCAGATCTCGCTCCCTTTCGATCCATTCTAACGCGTTATCAGGCGCTCCCGTGTACCTCGCTGCCGTCCTCGAGTACCTAGCTGCCGAAATTCTCGAGTTGGCCGGTAACGCTGCCCGTGACAACAAGAAGACCCGTATCATCCCCCGTCATCTTCAACTCGCCATCCGAAACGACGAGGAGCTGAACAAGCTCCTTGGTCACGTTACCATTGCCCAGGGTGGTGTCTTGCCCAACATTCACCAGAGTAAGTTTTTGAACCAAATCTTGCCTAGCTATTATCTAACCTTCAACCAGACCTTCTCCCCAAGAAGACCGGGAAGCCCGGCAAGAACGCCAGCCAAGAGCTGTAAATGGGGTCACTTTCTGTTTTCTGGTTGGTCGTTTGGGACGTTTCATGAACCACGGGGTCACGGCTGGGCACGGTTTGCTTTTTTCCATGCGTTAGGGTTGTACATTAAAGGCATAATCCATTGAGCACTGCTCTGAATGAGCAATGGGCATGAATGAGAACACTTTCTGAACAAATATTTTGGCTATTAAATATGTGATATATTGTGCAGATTATGCTGGCAAGTTCCGCGGCAACTTTGAGCCCGGAATATTGATAACTGAACTGCTTGTTTCCCCAAGAACTTCCTCGATTTTAGGTGCTATTGTCATGTACGAGGTATTTACGTCATGAATGTAGATGTCTTAGAAAGCTCTATTTTGAAATGTGTAAGTTTTTATCTTCGTCTAGTGCATAACGCAGATTATTGGTCTTATATACAGATCGGTACCACCCATTTCCCCATAAGAATTCCCGATTTAAAACTTCAGCGGTGGCGGAGCTGGAAAATCTGTCAGTAGATCAAACAGAGATACAATAGAGCGGATATTCAAACTCACGGTCCGTGTTAGGTACTGATAGGTTCCTCTCAAATTTAGATCCTAATTGAACTATTAGCACGATGCACACTTTACGTGTAACATATTTGGTATTTGGCAACCGGTGACATACCTCCTGGGGCTGTCGGGTAACAGAACGGATCAGGGTGCTTCCACGTCTCTAGTAGCTTCTCTGTTTCGCTAAGTAGTATCTGCAAAATGAAATCCGTTAATTTTTCCGTACTTCATCGCTCCCTGCGATTCCGGGGGAGACAGTACCCTTTGTTTCCTGGCATCGGTAACATTGCGGTTGGCTTCGAAGAGGGATCGGATATAGAGAGCTTGACCACGCCACAAACTTCGATGGACAGCCCAGTCAAGAGCTAGCTTCAGGGAGCGTCGGTAAAGAGACCTATGGTTCGGCTAGATTAGAGGTTGCAAAACCGTGGCAGGTTTAGGTAGGTTCAATTGGTCTCACAGCGCAGCTTGTCGGTTCGACATGATGAGGTCTTTTACTTCTTGCCGTGTATTCTAGTCGCGACGCCTACGACCCGAGTCACCAGCGGGCCGTAACCAGGAATAGCAACAATGCCGGAGCTGCTTAGGCGTTATGCGCAATAGATCCAGGGGATGCGATGCAATAGAGAAGTATCTATGCGTCGCCGTCGAACTCGAGATTTGTGCTCGTAAGGATTAGGAAAGTGTTGGAAATCCCACGCAGTCAATTGGAACTTCGCTAACTCGCTAATTCGCCTAGGCTTAGTTAGAGAGGAGGTCCCCACACTAACACCCGGACGACCTCCAAATCGGCGAAGGATCTTATTTATCCCGAGATGCTAGGGCGTGCTTGCGTCTATGTACATAATTACCTCTCTTGTTACGTCAAAGCTGCAAGGGTGAAAAGAGACGGGTACATAACCTCGGTACATAGGTGGTAGAGACGGTATGTATTTAGAGATGCGTGCATTGGTACCATACCTACATGTAGTAGGTAGCTCAAGATATAACCAACAAGATAGCTAGCTGGCTCAATTGCGCAGTGGGTAATTACATTTTCGATGTGGAATACTTGCAAAATACGTACGAAATACTTGAATCTACGTGAAGTGCACGGTGCAAGTGCGTAGAGGGAGCCGCAACGGGAGAACAAAAAAAAAAAAAAAAACTTGGAACCGCAGCTTCTGCCGGAGACACGGGAGCAGTGGATTGCTTCCGACTAGGTACTTTAATATTTTTTTTTCTCTTTCCTTCAGACTTTCTTCCCCAATCCAGAACCGAATTATTATCAATAATAACACATCATCGACTTCTTGCCATTGCAGGCTTTGGCAATCCGTCCTCCCATTTTCTCATTTCCCATGATCCATTTCTTCCCTTAGATACCTAGTCTAGTTCCAGGCTCTCGTTGTCCTTATTTCCCTCTCCTTGCCACCGACCTATCTTTCCAAACCTTGCCGGCCGTTCTCCCCTAACAGCTATAGTTATCTTTCACAATGATGTCAAGACGGCTTCTTACAGCCGCGCGAATATTGCGCCGGCCCATGCAGCAGCAACCGTTGCGAGGCAGCATCCCAATGCCGCTACTGATGACCCAAGTTCGCACCTATGCGCAAACCATCGTCAAAGTCCCGCAAATGGCCGAATCTATTACAGAAGGTACCTTAAAACAGTGGAATAAGAAGGTTGGCGAGTACGTCGAGCTGGATGAGGAGATTGCAACAATTGAGACCGACAAGGTAAACCGAAATTCCGAATTCTGCGGCTTTTTTCTCCGCTTTGCATCCCTATATCACCTAGTGATTCTGATACTTCCGCACGCAGATTGATGTCGCTGTCAATGCTCCCGAAGCTGGTGTAATAAAAGAGCTCCTTGCCAACGAGGAAGATACCGTTACCGTGGACCAGGAGATTGCTAAGATCGAAGCGGGCGCGGCTCCTGAGGGCGGTGAAAAAAAGCCTGATGCACCCAAGGAATCGCCCAGCAGGGAGGAGGCTTCTACCGAATCCCGTCCAGCGCCGGCGGAAGCTGAAAACAAACCAGAACCGACGAAATCGGAATCGAAACCGGAATCGCCGAAGCCCCAGCCACCTGCACCGGAACCGAAGAAGGAGTCAGCCCCGAAACCAGCTCAGCCAACGAAGGAATCCTCAGCCACCACTGGTCCCGTCTTGGGAAGCCGGGAAGAAAGGCGAGTCAAGATGAACCGCATGCGCCTGCGGATTGCCGAACGTTTGAAGCAATCGCAGAATACGGCAGCGTCGCTGACAACCTTCAACGAAGTTGATATGTCGTCCCTCATGGAGTTCCGGAAGCTCTACAAAGATGAAGTTCTCAAGAAGAGTGGGGTTAAGCTGGGGTTCATGAGCGCATTCTCTCGCGCAAGTGTTCTGGCGATGCGGGATATTCCAGCCGTGAATGCTTCGATCGAGGGAGAAAACGGTGGCGACACCATTGTATACCGAGACTATGTTGACATTAGCGTAGCTGTCGCTACAGAAAAGGGTCTAGTCACTCCGGTTGTCCGCAATGCCGAGTCAATGGACATGGTCGGGATTGAGAAGGCCATCGCGGATATGGGCAAGAAGGCTCGAGATGGGAAGCTTACAATCGAGGACATGGCCGGTGGTACATTCACCATCAGCAATGGAGGCGTATTCGGCTCTCTCATGGGTACGCCCATCATCAACCTCCCTCAGTGCGCTGTGTTAGGTCTCCATGCGATCAAGGACAGAGCCGTCGCCGTAAACGGCAAGGTTGAGGTTCGGCCTATGATGTACCTTGCCTTAACCTACGACCACCGCCTTCTCGATGGCAGGGAGGCAGTCCAATTTTTGGTTAAGGTCAAGGAATATATCGAAGATCCTCGGAAGATGTTGCTAGGCTGAATGTTAATTACACGGAATTGCTACTAAATCATGGCGGTGAGAATATGTAAGGCTTTAAAGTGTACAGTATAGCGGTTGTTTGGTATGCCTTTATTCGTGAGGATTTTAATAAATATTTTAAACGAGTAAACCGTTTAATTAAATGAATAATTTCGTACCGTATTGGGAATATCTTACTTTTAAGAATGATTTCAAATGACTTCAGATTATTCCATGCATGGGAACGAATTTATTAGAAAAATCTAGTGCTAGACTTAAGAATGATTCTACTGTAAGATTGACTGCAAAATTATTCTCTCCATAAGAATGATAGAAATTAAGAGAATATATTCTAGACTTAGGAATAATTCCTTAATATTTTGTTTCTAGTCCTACTCGTCCCCTACCATGCCACTTACTTAGTAGCATGGCAGGGGACGAGCTACATCTACAGGTTTACAAGTCTACTAGTTTATTGGACTACTCTACTGATTTTTACTAGTCTACTGATTTACGTGTCTACTGATCTACGCATATACAGGCCTACTAGTTTACTGTAGTGTATTAGCGATGTTGTGTAAGTAGGTGGGGTGTATGTGTATGTGTAGGTATGCGTAGGTAGGTGTGTGTGTGTGTGTGTGTATGTGTGTGTGTGTAAGAAGAAGAAAAAAAAACCAAAATTTTTGAAGTGCCTGTAGAAGTGTTGGTGTTGATAGGTGCGTGGTGTGTATGTGTTGGAAAAAAGAAAAATCTAAGTTTTTAAAGTGTGTAGTAATAAATGTTGTATTTACGTGCGGGCGGTGTGTGTGTGTTTCATTTACGTGTGATTATTAAAAAGCGTTTATAATAAGCGTTTAAATGAAAGGAATACGGAGTACGTATGGTTATTAATTTTAATTAATAATATTTTTATTTTTAATTAATAACGTTGTTATTTTTAAAGTTATTAACGTTTTTAATAATTATACGTATTTTATATTTTTTTTATTTAAACGTTTATTAATTTAAACGTTTAATAAAATAATAAAATTTAATTATAATATTATAAATAATAATTAATTATTTTAAATTTAAAATAATTAATTATTAAATATTAATATAATTAAAATATATAATTAAAAATATATAATTAAATTAAAATATAATTAATAAAATTTATAAATAATATTAACCGTATAATATAATATAATTTATTTCCGCCGTATAATATTATTAAAATAACGTTAACACGTTTAAATAATATATAAAATATTTTTTAACGTTATACCCGCGTTTAATTAATTATTTTAAACTTAATTTAATTTTAAATTTTTTATAATTATAATATTTTAAAAACTTTTAATTTATTTTATTTTAAATTTAAATTATAAAATTTAAAATAAAAATTTTATAAAAATATTAAACGTTAAAAATTTTCGTTAAATTAAAATAATTTTAAATTTTACGACCGCGATTTAATTATTATTTTATTTTAATTTTATAATAACTTTTTTAAACTTTTATTTTAAATTTTATAAATTAAATTTAATATAAAATAAATTAAATATTTTTAAATTAAAATAATTATAAAAAATTTAAAAATAAATTAAACGAATAATAATTAATTAAAATAAATTAAAAAATAATTATATTTAATAAATATAAAAATATAATTAATTATATAACGGTTTATATAATTATAAAAATATTTAAGTTATATTTTTTTAAACGTGTTTTTTTAACGTTATTACGCGGCGGAAATAAATTATATTATATTACGCGGTTAATATTATTTAAATTTATTTATAATATTATAAATAATAATTAATTATTTTAAATTTAAATTAATTAAAAATTTTCGAAAAAAAATTTATTAATTATAAAAATAAAATAAATAAAATTAAATAATAAATAATAAATTTATAATTAATTAAAATTAAAAATTAAAATTTTTTAAAAAGAATTTATTTTTAAACGTTAATTTTAATATTTTATTTAATTTCCCGTATATAATATACGTGTTTTTTATATAACCGTTATTTTTATCGTTTATTATATAATAATTTTATTATATATTTTTAAAAAAAATAAATTTTTTATTAAAATTTTTTTTTTAATTTATAAACTTTTAAATTTTATAATACATTTTTAAAAAAAATAAACTTTTTATTATAAAAAAAAATTTTAATTTATAAATTTTTAAATTTTATATTTATTATATTAATATAATTTAAATATATAATTAAAATACGTATATATTTTATTAATTTCCCCGGTTTTTAATAAAAAAAATTATATTTTTATAATTATATTAATAAGTTTTTTAAATTTAATTAACGTTTTAATTAAATTTTTATTAAAAATATAATTTAAATATAATATTTTTTAAAAAAAAATAAAAATTTAAATATAATTTTTAACGATATAATATTTAAAAATATAAAAATAATTTTAATATTATTTTAAAAAAATATTTTAAACGTTAATAATTTTAAGCTTAATAACGTTAAATTTTTTACATTATATAATGTTATATTTATTAATTATAATAATATTTAAGTTTTATTTAATATTATAATTATTAATTATAATGTTAAAACTTTTAATTTTTTTAATAATAATAAATAATATTAATTATATTAATTAATAAATTTTATTACATTTTTTATTAAAATTTCTTTTTAATATTATTCATTATATATATTCGTATATTTTTTTTAATATATTAAGTATTTTAAACATTTTCGTTTTTTTTAATTATTAATTCGGCGGTTTATTAATAAAATACATTTATATTTTAGTTTAACTATAAAGTTACATATTAAAACCATATTAATATAATAAATAATTTTTTTTTCGAAAACTTATAATTAACTTAAATTTAAAATAATTAATTATCATTTATAATACCATTAAAAAATTTTATTAAATAATAACTTTATTTCGTTTCGATCGAAAAATTTCCGGGTTATAATCGAAAAAACATTTTAAACGTTAATGGTTTTAAGCTTAATAATGTTAAATTTTTTACATTATATAATATTATGCTTATTAATTATAATAATATTTAAGTTTCATTTAATATTATAATTATTAATTATAATGTTAAAACTTTTAATTTTTTTAATAATAATAAGTAATATCGGTTATATTAATTAATAAATTTTATTACGTTTTTTATTAAAATTTTTTTTAATATTATTTATTATATATATTTATATATTTTTTTTAATGTATTAAATATTTTAAATATTTTTATTTTTTTTAATTATTAATTCGGCGGTTTATAAGTTTTTTAATTTCGTATAATATTTATTTATTTATATCCTTTTATATTATAACGCATTTAAATGTTAATAATTTTTTATTATAAGGATTTAAACCTTATAATACTTTATATAACTATAATATATTTATAACTTTATATATACGTTATAAAAAAAATATATTAATTTTATACGTTAAATTTTTAATTTTTTTTATTATAAATAATAATCCCGTTCTTTATGTTCCGTATTTTTTAAATTAATTTTTTAATAACTTATAACCGTAATATAAACGTAAGTATATAATTTCATTAACCTTAAACTTTATAACCTTATAAGTTTTATTATGTCGTATTTTAACGTTCATTACGGCGAAATCCAGGGTTTCTTTCGCTTTTTTTTAAAATTATTTCCGTATCGTTTTAAAATCGGGAACGTTTATTAACATATTTAATATAAACATAATCGACCTTAGTTTAAAACCCAGTACAACTTTATTTAGGCTTTTTTTTAATATTAAAGAATATGCGTTAACCGTGTTAATTTTTATTTAAATGAAATATCATTACATTAAATCCTATTTATTTTTAATGGTTATAAAAATAAATTATTAAATTAAATTATAATAAATATATAAAAATAATTATAAATTATAAATTTATTTTATTTAAATTTAATATTTTTAATAAAATTTAATTTATAATATTAATTATTAAATAATAATTTATTATTATTTAAATTAATAATTTATATAATTATAATTAAATTTTATTTAATTTATATAATTATATTAAATATATATCTTTTAATTTAAATATATTATATTATATTTTTAATTTTATTAAAATTTTAAAATAATATTTAATTAATTTTATTTTATTAAAATTAATATATTAATTATATTAATTTTTATTTAAATAAAATATTATTATATTAAATCTTATTTATTTTAATATATTAATATTAATAAACATTTATTTTTTAAATTTTTAATATATAAAATATAAAAGTTTATTAAATTATAATTATAAAATAATAAAAAATTATTATTTTATAAAAATTAAATTAAATTTTATTTATAAAATATAACTTTTTTATATTAATGTTATAAATAATATTTCTTTTTTTAATGTTTAATTATGATTTTTTAATTTTATAATAATTATATTTTTTATTAATAAAATAAATTATATTTTTTTAAAAATTTAATTATATTAATATATATTTTAAAGTTTAATAAAATAATTAATATTTTTATTTTTTATATTATTATAATTTTCTTTTTAATAATTTATAAATTAATTTTATTAATTATAAATTTAAATAATATAATTATTAAAAAATTTAAAAAAAACTTTTTTAATAATAATATTAATTTAATATTTATATATTATTAAGGTTAAAATTTAATTATTAATAATTAATTAAAGCCTTAATTAAAACTTAATTAATTAATTTAAGCCTTAATTAAAATTAAGTTTAATTAATTAATATTTTACTTAAAATTAAGTTAATTAATTAAGATTTTAATTAAAATTAATTAAATTTAATTAATTAATAATTAAAAAAAAAACTAAAAATTAAAATTTTTATTATACTTTTTTTAAAAATTTCTAACTTATTAAATAAAAATTATAAAAATAATTTAAAATTAATTTTAATAATTTAAAGTTAAATATTATTTAAATTTAATAAAATGGGATTTTTAAGAGTTAAATTTAAATTTAAAGTTTTATATATATTAAGTTTTTAAAAATTATTTTTGTTTTAAATAATAAACGTATAATAAAATTAATTATATTTATTTAAATTTAAAGTTAAATATTAAGTATAACCGAAGGAATGCAATTTTTAATAATTAAGTTGAATTATTTATTAAGGTTTAAAATAATAGAAGGATTTTGGTGGGGGAAAATTTAAGGTTTCAAAGTGCCAAGG